TTCATTTTCATGCTTGAGGTGGTATTATATCAAAAAAGTCTTAACTCAACATTTACTTCTATCCTTTCGTGGAGTTCCCTGCTCTTTGACGAAATCAAAGTAAGTCATTTTTACCGGAGCTCAGTTGTTCTGATATTATTCTGCTCATGATGTCTTTTAAGAGTGAGACCCACAACACCGGTGACACCATTTTAAAGTTGTTTTGAATACACACAGAAACTAGAAATAACAACAGGAAAGCTTCTGAACCCACAGACCGTGTGTGTTGGTGTGTGTAAGCTTTTGATTGTGGGGAAGAGGAGTGGCAGGAGGGAAACCCACTAAAAACTCTAATTTTGTGGTAGATATTCTTGGTCTCCTCTTCCCAAATAAAAAAAAATACTGTAACATTTCTTATTTCAGATATTTTTAAATGAGATGATTCCATCAAGTTTTATACATACAGAATAGGATTTGTGTTTTTATTTTTCTAAATAAACAAAAACCTGCAAAATTAACATTAAACCAAAAAGAAGTACATTTTAACACCCACATTTATCTCAGTTTGACCATTTCAGTCCTTGACAGTTTATTTCTGTCACACTTTGGCAAAAGCAATATAGAAAACACATTCACATAAAAGAAGTTTTAGGATTTAAATCTCATCTAAGTGATGGGTAGAATCTTTTCTAATTGTATCCAGCAAGTAGATTCTTGAAGAACCCGCTCAAAAAGAACAAACATTAAATGACCATTCACAACAGTCTTTTCAGGAGCTTTTCTAGCTTCATGTGCTCTAGTGGATCTATATCACAAAGCCCACTGCAGAGGCTCTCCCACCTCACCAACCTGCTAAAACGCCTCACTTCCTGCTGCTTTGTCTGATTCCAAACACTTGTCTGCTACTCTCAGGACAAAAATATGATCATTTATTGACAAGACCTTATTTTACTCTTGTACTTTTTGCAAAAGGCAATCAAAAAGTTGCCGTTGGTTTTTTTTCCTCTGTGGAAGAGTGCTATGAATAGGTGTCAAACCCACAGCTAGCTGAGCTCAACAGTCACACAATTCAGTTCCACTGCACCAAGATGTTCTTTTATTGTTGAACAGAATGGAAAATATATGTTCTGGTGAGAGACCATAAATGGGGGAGAATAAAGTAGTATTTTCTACAATAAATAATTTTGTTTCTATTAAAACTAATTGAACTTGTTCAGCTTGTTTCCTCACTACGTTTGTCATCTTTAAAGTTTGCATGGACACCTGCTTTTTAAATTTCCTATAGAGGAAAAGGTGGACTATGTTTGAAATTTCACCAGCACACACACACCTTGTATTTTTTGTTATTTTTCTGTGTTGTATTAAAAAAAAGAGTACACTTTCTGTAAATTAGTTGCATGCAATTTGTGGCGTCAATTATCTTAGTTCTGTTGAACTCGGCTCACGGTAGATGATCTCTAGGAACAGTTGTCCAGGAAAATAAATGCTGCAGCATTTGGGATTTGTGTGCAACTATGGCTCAGAAACTGTCTTTGTGAAACAGGCCCTGAATCTCCTAATCAATACGCTGAAAGCTGCTATGAAGCTTAACTGAGCTGGAAGACTCTGCAGTGTTGGATTCACGGTTGAGTTACGCTTCATAATTTAGAGCCAATTCAAAACAAAATGTAACAAAGCAAACTGATTTTCATTTAATCCTGACAAAATGGAGTTCAAAGTAATTAAATGGCAATTTGTAAAAAAGCTCTGAAAGAAAGAGATGAATTACATTGAGTTTTTATTTGAATTTAGTCCATCTCAAATGTTTATGGGGCAGTGGGCAATAGAGACTCACATAGTTGGTGGATGAAAAGGGCATAGGCATATTGTCGAGTGTTTAGAAAAGTACATAAATTCATCATAGCTGGATCATTAACAATGAGATGTGTTCATATTTTCTTACATTTTTTTTCAGTAAATGTGTGAAGATACGGGCAGGAAATGTCTGGTGTGAAGGAGCAGCACCACCAGTTCAGGGTCAAATATGAGTCACTTTCAGTAACTATAGTAACACCGACAGTGTGAGTGTGAAGTGTAAAGCACGGTGCAGCAGGTGTAATATGTAGGACGGGCTCTGGTTGGATGGTCTGTAGGCCACTGTTGGTTTAACTGGGGTGGTCATCCATCATCCATTGTAAGTCTTTCCTCTCATGGGGTCAAGCCCAGGCGGGAGAGTATTTATAGTCTGTCCAGATGCTGCAGTGTGTCTCTGTGTAACAGTGTTTCATGCCTACAGTTGCACCTGTGCGTGTGCGTGCTTGCACGTGATTTGATTCAGGCATCCTGTGATTGGATTTTGTGAGTTTGTTCCCCTCATCCGAGTGCTTTAGATGAACACAGGCCTTATGTTGTCTAACACAATCCCAGGGGGTTGAAAAGGAAAAGTGAATGAGCACCCAGCTTGCCCTATTATTTTTCTCACACCATTCTGGTGCATGCTAAGAGCAGGATTTATGCTTTTTGTGAAGCTCAGTTTCATGATGAAGGGCTGCTCCTCTCACAGCAGAAAGCATGAAAGGTAGTTGCTTCATCTAAGCAGAAAGGCAACAGATACGCTGTTCATCGCTTTAGTCTTTTTGTTGTAGAACAAATTAGAAATAAAATGTTTGTCATTTTTGTTTTCTTTCTTCATGTCCCACCTCATCCAAAGCCTCTCTCTCTCTCTCTCTCTCGGTTGTATTTATCTCATGTGTTGCTCAGCTGCTATGGACCTTCTTCCCTCTTTGTCTCGTGTATGGAAGACGAGCTGCAGCATGTTAGGAATTCATATCAGCCAGTGCACCTTGCAACACATCAGAGGGAAAGAAATGAAAGGAATGGGAGTCAGGAGATGTGGAAAGCAGGTCAGAAAACACAGATACATTTGCTGTACATAGAACATCTTGCAGCTAATATTTATCCTCTTAGTTCCGCTTTGGTCTCGGTCCCTATATCAGTAAATGCAGTTGCGTTTAAGAACCATGCAGATAAAGCTTTTTCTGTACATTTGTCCTCAGAGGAAACAGCCAGAAGCAGAATTTGCTGCCTGGTACTCAACTCAACATCCCCCCCTGCTGGCTGCTAAAGGTTATGCATGGTTAAAATGCTTTGATCGCCTGTTTCATGAAAGTAATCGCCTCAAGTGGGACTAAAACAAGAGGATTAGATATAGTGAGAAGAAAATTCCTCTCTAGGTTGCAGTCAGCAGTGATAATGGATCGTGTAGAGTCTGACTGATGGTATTGTTTTGCCAAAGATCTTCGTATCGTAAAGAACATGATTATTGCTTATGGACCACTGTGTGTGGTTAGGTTTTAATCATATTTCGTGCAGTGTTTGGCTCTGAAACATTCTGCTGATCTACCATCGCTTTTGTCCTTCACTTCCAACATACTTCTAACTGGTTCCTTTCTGTCATTCTCCACACCCACGCCCCCACCTCCCCATTCCTAGTTTTCCTGTCTTTTCATTCCTTCCTCTGCCACTTCAGTCATCCCTCTCTTCCTGTCCTTTAATAAGCTCCGTAAGGAGTGCTTTTCTTGTAATTAAAATGCACATCATTCATCTGGGAGGGAGGAAGGCTGTCTCCTTAATCTGCAGTAACCCACATTCTAGCCTCCGAGGATTTGGTTTGTACGCGGCATGCACACACACCCATCCTAATTTCAGTCGCTATCTCTGTAGACACTCCCACCTCCGCTCCTCATTGTGTCAGCCCAGATGTGCCTTGTCATGTCATTTTTGAGTAGCAAACACCAAAACCAGCTCTGGTGTTTATTTTTTTTTTCTTTAGCGACAAAATATAAGGAAAGATTGTGTGTAATTGGGATATGGTTTTATTAGATTTAAATGTGACCTAGATGCACTGCTTTCTTAAACATTCCTGGTGTGAAGGCTTCTCAAAACCTTGTTTTTCTTTGTGGAACGAGTCCATATTGAAAAACAAAAGCAAGTTTGATCAGCGTGTGCCTTGTGTTGCAGTTCCTTTTTTGGTCACTGAGGAGCAAGCCTGTGTGTGTTATTGAATGTTTGCTTGGCAGATGAGGCTGACACACCTTTGTACATTTGTGGATGGGTAACAGCATGCCGAGCACACTTGGCTCTGTGAAGAAAAGCAGCATAAAGCTTTATCTTCTACTGCATTAATATCAGTTGGTACTTAATCTTTGTTTACAGAAACTAGTTAATTTCAGTCAGCTTGCTTCATTTGTAAGTAAAACCTCCAATGGAGCAACTACATCTATGTGGTTTCAAACAGACAATTTTATGTAGCCTGGAGGTTTATGTTTGAACAGTAACTGTGTTTTATTTTATTAGAGCAGCAGATTCCTTCTCACCAGGGTTAAATCTAGTTCAGCTCCAGAACTAAGTTGATTAGCATGTCCTCTGTAAACCATCTGGACTAACATCTGTTGACAGAGGTCTCCACCAGTTGCAGTAAAACTTTGACATCAATAACGGACAACACCGACCTCATGAGCCAATCTGTATTTATTTATGTGAATTTTCAGATCATAACTTCCCATCTAATTAGGTGGGCTGTATGAAATGATCAACTTTTGATTTTTGTGTCATGCTTTAAAAACCTGCATTTAATCCCTATTTTTTTCCACCTGTCTGGTGGTAGAAAATTTTAGCACAGGAAAACCTCAAATAGCGTAGAAGGAGTCACCGCTCATCTGGGAAAAGGCGCTGGATCAGAAAGTGGAATAAACAAAATGAGAATCCGCTCACTTCAATCTGCAGTGTTGGAGTTTATTGGTCAAGCTTTCGGTCAGAGACCTTCATGATGAAGGTCTCTGACCGAAAGCTTGACCAATAAACTCCAACATTGCAGATTGAAGTGTGCGGATTCTCATTTTGTTTATTTTTTTAACACAGGAAAACCTGCAAGAACAAGTTCCACTTCCTTTTGTAGTTTTACGGAAGTTGAGTTTATTAAACTTGACCCACCTTTCTGTTTGCTGGTTCGGCTGAGAGAGTAGAGCACGGTAGGGGATTCTCATACTCTATATACTGAGTGTACAAGTTCTGTACAAGTGGACTATTTTGTTGCCCTTTTCACTTATATTGGTGCTTTTCTCACCACCACCCACCCAGCGGGGGATGAAAACACACTGGGGTGGCTCCAGCAGCGTAAACAGAGTGCTGCTCTGTATCCATGATGAATCTTTGGAATGTAACCTGGACCTCTGTATCCAGAAAGGAGTCTCTGCTGTGAAACCAAGTCACCTGGCATGTCAGCCATGATAATTAATGCTAAGGCTGTCCAAGTGAATCTGGCTCAGCTTTTGCTGTGTCTCCTGTCTGTCTGGGAAACACGGCGGTCCAAGTTACCACCGTGCTGATGATACTGACACCTGGCACAGGTCATGTGAACGTCAGAAATGTTACATGCAAGAGAAACAGAAGCTAATGTTAAATGAAATAGTGAGAGCATTAAAATGGCATGACTCATGAGTAAACTAAACCAAGTCTGTACTAGCCATCAGGAGGGGCTGATTATACCCCTCTACGCTGCTCTGAAACCACTCCCTCAGTTTGGCACATCTCTGTGGATCTTTTTTGCTTTCTTCATTTATTGGATTCTCTGTCTGCTCTAACGTGCTCAGACGACTGAAGTCGGACAATTTTAGGTTGCTTTCAGTGGTTCATCATTTGTGTGAGTAGTATATCTCTCTCTTGAACATTCAGGTTGCAATCTAAGAGCTGGCATAGCAGCTGAGGGATCACCCTAACCACCGGGCATTTATTTGAACCCCTCCTGCCCCCTTCTGCAGTGACCCTCTGTTCTGCTCCCACCCTTCTGGTTGTCTTGTCCTGATGGTAGAGTTACGAGAGACAGTTCCTGCCTGGCATTCTGTGTTTAGGCTGTCCCTTTCTTCTGATGCTTGCTTTTTCTACGTTTTCTCATCTCTGCCTAAAGACTTGTCTCTTTCTAAGGTATGTCTCTTCTTGTTAAATTTAAACAGAGTTTGTATCTCACTGCACAGTTTCTCATTTTAGGACACAGAATGTCTTACAGAGTATTTAAATTTTTACTGTTGAATTCCTGGTCCCTTTTGCCTTTATTTGTCTGTAATGACACTGTTCTTTTGGATGACTTTATTCATATAAAACATTTTTCTTTTTTTGCTCACGTTTGGAAATAATTTTGAAGGAGTTGTGAAATTCGGTCTAAAAAAAACACCACAGTTCATGCTCTTCCAAATACTCCCTAATGGTACGCATCTTTCCACCTACTTGTTGGAACAAGTAAATTAGTAGTTGTTTCTCTGGCCTCCCTCGCTCAGAAATAGTCAGCATAGATGGGAATAATTATGGTCACACATTTGACAGCAACTCTTGGTTTTAAAACATGCTAAGGCTGCAGCCAGGGAAGGGTCAATGAGTAACCAAAGGAGTGGCTGTGACAGCCTCAATGATTCAACCTTTACAGCTCTAAAATCCTCTCGTGTTGGTGCACATAGGGTGCTGACAGGTTGCGAAAGGAGGACTCTCAATGAGTAGAACTTTGTCCACGAGGAGTTTGTGACCTTGATGCTCTTGTTAGTGCTGGACTGTAAGGAACTGGTGAGTTTTGTTTAACTGAGCACCCCCATGATGATTTTATTTTTTAAAGGAAAACCTTTCGACATGTAGTGTTGATCGTTTGCTTTGGTGAGACATAACGTTTGAAAATATCTTGTACATTGTAGCGTGATAATACACGTATTTGTATGCATAACAACATTTACTAGGAATTGGGCTTAAACATAATTGTTTTATCGTGCTCCCAGGACACAAAAAGATGGTTAATGCTTATTGCCATGAAAGTAAAACACAGTATTGTTTTTTGGTTTTTTTTTCCCCCCACAGATGCTTTGCTGGCGGACCTTGAGTCCACAACATCTCACATTTCCAAGCGCCCGCTTTTCCTTTCTGTCGATTCTGATTGTTCCTTTCCCATTGGAGATCAGAACCAGCAAGACATTGGCTCGCCACCATCACCAGAGAAACCTCTAAATGGAGTAGATGAAACAGAGGTAACTTCATTTATACTTTATATATTTAGGGGCGACGGTGGCACAGGAGTTAAGTGCTCGCCCCGTAATCGGAAGGTTGCAGGTTTGAGCCCCGCTCAGTCTGTCGCTGTCGTTGTGTCCTTGGGCAAGACACTTAACCCACGTTGCCTGCTGGTGGTGGTCGGAGGGACTGGTGGCGCCAGTGCTCGGCAGCCTCGCCCTTGTCAGTGTGCCCCAGGGCAGCTGTGGCTACATTGTAGCTCATCCCCTCCAGTGTGTGAATGTGTGTGTGAATGGGTGAATGACTGATTGTGTTGTAAAGCACCTTGAGGGGTTCCAGGACTCTAGAAGGTGCTATATCAAATGCATCCCATTTACCATTTATACTGGACATGTTTTCCTCCTGAAAGATTGAAGGCAGATAATTGATTAGTACAAGGCATTGTATAATTTTGTCTTTAAACACATATATGAGTGAGATAGCTCATTGGTGAATTGTTCATACTTCTGATCTTCAGTCTGTCAGCTCAGCTCAGAAGAGTCCCTGGTCTAGACAGGGCAGCAGTCCAAGCCATTGCATCGGGGAAGAGGACCACGTATACAGGTTAGCATGAAACATGAGGCTGTTTGGGGGGAATCTAATCTAATCTAACAGCAAATGTAGGAACAAGTAAAGCTTCTCCGTGTGCTATGTTGTGGTAGAATGTAAACAGCACTTTTTTTTTCTCAACACGGTAGTTTTCCTAATAAGCGAAAAAGTAGTGAGTCATCTTCAGCTGCTGCCATGAACTCATCGCTGGGCAGTAACCTGTCTGAACTGGACCGCCTGCTGTTGGAGCTCAACGCCGTCCAGCAGAGCACCCCTTCCTTCCCCACAGAAGGTACTTCACAATCATGTTTCTGTAATGGGACGTTGGTGTCACTATAAACATTTAGCACTTCTGCGTTTGTGGTATTAGGCGCTAAGCTTGCGCTGTCTGCTGTTTGGTCTGTTTTTATTGTTGGGTTTGAGTTAACATTCAAATATTGGTAGGTTCCCAAAAAAACACAAAATTAACTTTCTTGTAATAATCATTTTGAAGAAGCAGCTCCACCACTGCCTGCAAGCAGCACAGTCCACCACATCCAGGAGAATGGAGTCTCCACGACAGGCAAAGCCACCCCACCCAAACTGGAGAAGCCCAAGCGCTCTGCAGCAGCTAGAGGAATAGAGAATGTACGGCCGAGTGTGGAGAGCCTTCTAGATGAGCTGGAAAGCTCTGTGCCAGCCCCCTCTCCCATGTAAGGAAGAATTTGTAAAGAAACATAGAAGTTATGTGTCTGTGTGCAGCAAATTAGGGCTTGCTTATTATTTCAAGTTTGTTGTAAAAAGCACCAAGTTTAGGTGATTGCATCTGTGCTTTCTCTTTAGTCCCACGCTGTTGGTAGTGTCAGAGGAACAAAACGATGCACACGGGGAAAAACTGCCACAGCAAGTCAGGATGTCTGCCTCTTCTGCTACACGGGAGTTGGATGAGCTCATGGCTTCCCTGTCGGACTTCAAAGTCCAAAGCAACGTGAGTGTGATTTAAAACTGGGGTGGCTCTGACTGTTTGGGAATGTTTGCACTGAATGGAAGCTAGTTAGCTGTCCTTGTATGACTGCTTCTAAAGTAGGATGTGATAACAGCTCTAAAAATAATTCCTCAACTGAATTGGATCGTTCTGCTGTCTTTACCACATGTGGTTTTTGTAAGAACTTACACACAAAGGTAGGACTGGGTGGTATTCATGTTTAAGGTTCTAAAATCATACCACAGTATACTGTATTAACGTTTGCTTCTAAAAGATTATGATGCTGTCTTGTTCAGCATTTAATTTAGGGCATTTTAAGAGTTTCCAAAAATAATTTTTACTTATATTTTTAGAATAAAGATGCAGCAGGCAAGTATTTTGTTAGTAGTACATCATGGAACAAGCATTTTAAACAACGAATAGATGACCACCAGGACAAAGAGCTTATGATGCTACAAAAAATTAATTCACCTAAAGAAATCATGTAAAGATGATGTAATGCCACAAAACAAACAAGTGACTTATAAAAAATATTTTCTCTTCCAACCAGAATGTTAGCCTCTTCAGGTTCTTGCAGAGGTTGGTAGAAAGCTGTCATCTGAAGTTTCAGTCTGAAATTGTGGTTGTAGCAGAGAGAGAGAGAGAGAAACTGGTGTCATTCTATTTTTCTGCTTTAGTGGACCAGAGCAAGCTCTACAGAGTCCAATCCACCCTGGTTCTACCTATTCTTTCATCACTTGTCCCATGATCTTTACACAACAGTAACAGAATAGCCAGCCTTTTCTTCGTTTCAACTTCATTCTTCTCCTTGGTGTTGAAAGCAGCAAAATGTTGGTAGATTTGGCTCAATTAATTTGTGAGAGTTGTGTTAATAAAGACAAAGAGATGCATTGGGAATTAATTTAATTGGCTCAAAGTTGTCATGGTAAAATTTTGCGCTGATGCAGTACCTTCACTAAACAGTGGGCATCACCACAGAGGAAATAATACAGCTGCAGAAACCGTGAGAGAAGAATGTAAGGGAAATAAACTTAAAATGTTTTTTCCGTGCATTTTGATTCTTAGGTTTACATTGGCTTTTAATGTGAGATGCTTCTCTGGTAAATTCCCTTTTTCTAAATTCATTCTCTATTTTCTTGGTTTTGTTCTCTTTTTCTCCATCACTGTATGTCTTGTCTATATACGTTGCCTCCATGATTCATTGCATCTGACTCAGTCTGGCTCTCAGCAATCTTTGAATCAGGACTCTGGGGACCCTTTATTGCTACCTGGTTCACTAGTTGTCCAAGAATCTATAACTCCTCACATTGGTTCAAAGAACACATCTTTACCTTTGGGTTACGCGTCCCCTTTGTGTATGTCGCCTTCATTGGAACTCCACATAGATGAGGATGGGTGTTCAGCTCCCACACCTTCATTTGGATCAGTTGTGCCACCTAAAAGCCTCCAGTATTCCCACATCCAACAGAGTAACGATGACAGCCATGTCTGTTTTGAAGTCTCACATATGGAGAGTTACACTGTTTCCAGTACTTCAGAAGCTCTGAGTCCATTTGAAGTCAACAGCTCTTCACAAATATCAGTAAATGCAGTATCTACTAGTTCCAGAACTACTACCAAGAGCCCCAGCCCAGTTGTTTTTAAGAGTCCAGTTTCCCTGTCTAAAATCCCCAGTCCCATTTTTGGAGATAAAAGTTCGAGTCCTGCTGATGTTAGAGCTCAAAGTCCTGTACTTAAAAATCTTCCTGTAACTCATAGTCCACAGGCACTTAGAAAGAGCGCTAGTCCAGTGAAATTACCTGCTGCTACAGACGCAAGGCCGCTAAAGGCGGCTAGTCCAGTCACAGTTCCCAGGCTTTCTAGTCCAGTTCCAAAATGTGCAAGTCCTGTACCAGTTCCCATTATCCCTAGCCCACTGTCTATACCAAGGAGTCCTTGTCCTGACACGATTTATAAAAGTGTTAGTCCGGTAACTATTCCGAGACTTTCCAGTCCAGTTCAGAATACCACTAGTCCTTTAACTAATGCCTCCGGGTCTGCGGCCTTGTCTAAGAGCTCTGATTCAGAACCTATTCCTAGAAATTCCTCCCCTGTACCACTGCCAAGGCTTTCAAGCCCAGTAACGGTTCCAAAGAGTGAGACTTTGTTTCCTAAGAGTTCTCCTCAAGCCATCAAAAAAACATTCACCGTTCCAGGCACCAGTAGTCCCAGAGCTTCCCCAGTTTTACCTGCTGCCGTACCATCAAACACCGTGATTGCCCCAGAAAGTAAAGGAGGGAATGTTCTGGATTTAGCGTGGCCATGCCGGGAGCCGTTGCTGGATGATGCTTTAGACAGAATTTTAGCTCCCAGCTCCAGTCGGCTGACTGAGAACCTGCCACCTGCTTCTGTTATGTCCACTGATGAAGACAAATCCTGGGAGGACGAAGATGTCATTTACCCTGATTTCAGCAGAGAGGGAACTCTAACACCTATGACTGAGTCCAGCTGGATAGATGAATGTTTCACCCCCTCCAGCTGCCCTGGGACACCAGATGCAACGTTGGACCTGCCCACACAGCAGCCCTCTGCCGTTGAGCGACTTTCTGCTTCTGGTCAAGTAGGCAAATGAACTCCCCAAAACAAGCTGCTGTCACGAGGCTGTACAAGTTTTAAGTTGGCATGTAGTCTTTTTAAACCTTTGAAATCATAAAAACAACCTCTGACAATAAAGCCAGAAAGGATTTCTTGTGTGAATCCTCCAGAGTTTTGTACTCTGAGCACTGATATGAGCTTATTTTGGGTGAGCGGTTTCTGCAAGTATCGAAGGAGTTGTGAAATGGTGCAAACATGTTGATATGATGAGAGATTCCTCATTCCCTGCAGTGTGATGCATGTGGTGTCATATAGCAATCAGAAAACGGCCTCAGGGAGACGTTTTCATGGCTGATGTGGAAAGGGTTGTTGACACACGTCCTCACTTGCTTCTTTCCACATTGCTGTGTTAGTTATGCTGTTTCTAACAAGGAGGTACTTCTACAGAAAGGAGGTAGTTTCATTTTAATGGATTGCATACATCTCCCCACAGAGAGCAGATGAATTCATGAAAGTTTCTAGAATTGCTGCTTCCTGGTGTTTATTGTTGCTTTGGCATGTGTAGATGTTTGAGAGAGTCATTTGTAACGCGGCATGTGTAGTCTTAATTTTAGCTGCTCAGCATGCCTTGCATCTGATTTAATAGCAAAGCATAAACCTAAACTAGAGGCTGTGATTTGTTTGGCCAGTAAAAGTGATTAAATATGTAAGTGAAAAGCATTTTGGCAAACAACACTAAGCTATTGCTCAAGTGTTTTGGCACTTTAGTGAGATGTTTAGCACTGGCAGCAGGATGGGATCCCAGCTTCCCATACCTCCTTATCACTCGCTTTCCAGCTCAAGTCAGTGATCCGCCGCACCAAGGAGACGTCCAATGTCCATCCGATGTACAGGGATGGACTGAGACGAAAAATGGGACCAATCATTGTGCATAAAAGCAACTCGCAAGATCGACTGATTGAGGAGCTGCAGGGTAAATTGGGGATTGGGCGAGTGGAGCGCAGGCGGAAACAACAGCCCGATGACTGGCTGACGGAGGGAGTCATTGTCATGTCCAACCCACAGAGAACTCGGGAGGAAGGGATTCAGCCATCTGTGGATAAGGTAGACCGACACTAGAGGACTGTATCAGGATCAAAAGCCAAGCTGGACATTACTCTTTCTACTGATGTCTACTGCATTGCTTAAAATTTTTTAGCTGTCAGTTTTAGTTAATTTCTGTTTTGTACTAACTTTGTGTGACCCTTTTAAAATGTTCTATAATTTAATTTCTGCTCTGTATCAGTTTTATTCTTCTTTTGCCATTTCCATCTTTCCACCAGATTATCATCCCTCCTGAATCACCAGCCCCACAGAGAAAAGTCCTCCCCCCTCCACAGTCTCCCCCAGCACCCAAAAAGCCACCCCCAGTCAAACAGACTCCACCACCTCTACCTCCTCCACCTCCAACGCCCCCTCCTCCTCGAGAACCCACCCCTCCACCTCCCAAGGAGCCTACCCCTCCCCCACCTAGAGAGCCTACACCTCCCGCTGTCCTGCCCCCTCCATCTCCTAGCCCCCCACCTAAGCCTGTCACGCCACCCCCATCTCCAAAGGTCTTTGTATCAGTGGGTTGTCAGACTGACTACGACCCTATCTTCCCACCACTGCAGGCATGGATCACCTTTCTTCTTGCACCCTACCTTCATACCTCACACTTTCTATCCTTTCTTTACACTTTCAATGGTTTTACCTTCATACCATTTTCCTATTTAGCAGTGCTAAATGAAGGTTTGGCTTTGGGGCTTCCAAAAAGCTTTGTTTGAAATCCAGTCTGACCCTGTTATGAGGGGTTCTGACACTCTGGCTGGAGAGACTGAGCCCGTTTTCTAATTCTGACATCCGATGGCGCCGAGAGCCCTGCGTTTGGAGCGGAGGGTAGAATTTAAGAGCTCAGGAGGAAAGCAGAGTGTAACGCACCAAAGTTCTCATTGCACTAAGTGTCCTGCCACGCTCAGGAATGGTAGGCTCGCAGTGCAACGGAAACCTAATCTGACACATGACAGCACAGTTACCACCACATTTATAGCAAGTCCAACAAAATTTAAGTCAACAGGACCCATGAGTTTAGATCCCAGTTTGCTGAAATTAAAGGCCTCGCCTTTTAGTTCTAAATACTTTTAGTGAAGTTGTTTGTTGAGGACGTGTGAGTAGATTCACACATGTAGCGTCAAATACGCATTTGTGTCAGGATGCTATTTAATGTTGTCAAAGGTGAGGAGGTCATTTGTGTAAAGGAGAATATGCAGAGCAGCGGTGCTATTTTCTACCAGAGGAATGTAGAAGCCATGAAGATCCAATGACCACACCACCTGAGAAGGTCTTTTGCTTATATTGCAGCAGTCAGACACTCGGACACAATGTTGACGTCAGAGTGTCATCTAAAAAATCTGCTAACGTGAATTGGGATGGATCAGAGCATATATATGGTCGCGGTTTATTTATCATTGGTTTGTATTTGCATTTACTCCACCATGGAAGAGAAAATGGCAAATTTCAACTGGTTTCTTGTTTTTAAACATCAAAAAGATAAAATGAAACCATTTTTCATTTGTATTAGATTCAATCGCAGGGAAAGACCTCTCCCGCTGCTCCCCCAAAACAAGCCAACAAGCTGGACAACATGCTGGGAAGTCTGCAGTCTGACCTCAACAAACTTGGAGTCCAGACTGTGGCGAAGGGAGTCTGTGGTGCCTGCAAGAAACCAATTGTTGGACAGGTAAGGAAAACCAATCTTCCAGATCGTAACTCAACCGTAACTGATAATACAAAATAATGGAGCTCTTAACACTGCAGTTCTCTAAAAACAACAGACCTTTATATGAACATGATCTTCTTTTTTCTAGAAAATCTGCTACTCAGCTTTAAGTTTTATACATAAAGTCTTAGGATAGCATACTCCTTCATGCAGGAACTAGCTAGTTCCAAAAGACACCCTGTGGTGGTATATCCAGGTAATACACAGTGTGTCCTTTAAATGTAGCGACGACAACCTAGTGAGGGGAGAATATTGTGTCTTTCGTGCCGCCAAGCTTCATAGTAATATTACCTGAGCATCTGACTTCTGATTGAAGATCACGCCTTCGTGCAACAGATGGTAATGTCTTGACCACATCTGGAATCTCTACCTAGCTCCTGCTGGCAGCAATATTTAAAATGCAAGTAAACATGGGCTGTCAGTTTCACGTTTGTAAACGGTATCACCTGAGATGGAAAACCAAAACGATGCAGAGATCCGGGAGCTTCCGGCCGTTAGAGCTGAAGCACAGATCACAGTTCGAAGGGACTGTGAGGGACAGCCACTTTTGGAGTGGCTCAAGAAAAAACTTGGATCGTGGCTTCAATCAGAATAAAAACAAGTCACGTCCAAACTAAAAGGAAGTCTGTGACAGTGCAGAGACTGCCCCCATACCCCATTTGTACTGCCATAGAGTAGTCTTTTGTGAAAAACATATGATCGTGCCACATTACTGCCACAGGCTGACCACTAGTGTAAAGAATGGGTCGTTTACATCTTACTTATGAACCATAAAATGTGAGATTCCACAGAAATATGAAATATCAATCTGATCTTTGACTATTTTAACCAGAAGATCAGAACTTTTTATTGCAGGGATTAAGTGACACTTCGTATTAACTCCAAGGAAAGAGAGAAAGTCAGGTTTAAAATAGTTAAATTTATTTCTACACAATTTAAACAAGACTAACTTTAACACTCTGAGTGCGTTTACATGCAGCCAGTAACCCTTTTAAAACCCGAGTATTCATAATAACCCAGTTCCGCAGGTCCATGTAAACACCGCCAAAAACCCGGATATGCTCATAACCGGGTTTTTTAAAACCCGGTTACTACACCTGGGGTAACCCTTTTCTAACCCGAATGTTTGGTTGTGTAGACGCATATCGGGATATCCCCATCAAAGCGTGTGTTCTGCGCATGCTCTGTTCGCAAGGAATCTTGGTCTTTTGAGTAGCGAGACGTCTTGTATGCGCCAGAACACCGGAAGTAAACAACAAGTTGGGAGCAACATGGCGAGTCGCGGCACAGCACCACACTTTTGGAGTGACGAGGAAACTAAAGCGCAAACAAACGCGGTCGCTATCTCTTCCGAACTGGGAAACATGTTGTTGTTTTCACGGATACCGGAACAAGAAGAACCGGAAATGACGCATATTGCGTCTGGACGTAGTCCATACGTCCTGATGCTACCACAACGTCCGCATTTAAATCGGGTTATGCAAGTTAGAGGTAACTCTTTCTATATATGCTTGTAAATGGGTTATTCTGATCAACTCAGAAACCCGAATACCGACTTTAACCCGATCATAACCCGGATATTGGCTGCATGTAAAAGTAGTCTCTGTGTACTGATGGAACTAAGGTGGAGTGAGACGTGATGAATGATGATGGTGTGATTGTGAAATGTTATTCAGAACCAGCGGATCCAGAGAAGCAGTTAGTTTTGAGTGGTAGTGAATGTTTCGCTCTAAACTTTAGTAGGAGATTTATAACACATGAAATGCCATCTGTTGGTCTATGTACCCCAGAGGAAGCCTCTGATTAGATCCAGAATGCCGAGGTTCTCGTGGACCCTCTTTGTTACCGAAGCCGGTAGAAAAGCAGCGGTACCAACCAAACTAGTCTTGGAATGCTTCCAGGTCGCAACAGGTTATCACTGGCGTCTCCGAGACCCTGAAGGAGTCGTGAGGTTCAGCTTTTATTCTGCAGGAACCGTTGCAGTCAGGTGTCACTTGCAACAGATTTTATCCAGCTTGTTGAGGTTCTTTATGGCTGAAGAGGAAGTCCGGATGGCCTGTCCGAGACTTCTCTAGAGCGCTTTGAACTAAAGAAAAGGTGGCGTGGGATAGTTTTTATAATTGTCATATTTTGGTTTACTGGCGAATCAGAATTTGACATGCAAAAGAGGGTTTATACAAACACCACCGAAAACCACGCCTAGCCAGAAACGAAGGTTCTGATTGGATCAGACACAAGGAAATGTGTCGTGTGACTTTAGCATTGCGTGTCATCAGTGTCTAGTGCAAATGTCCAAGATTGTAATTACTTGTAAAATACTACTGATCACAGGATTATAATATCAAGTAATAAACATTGTCATTTCACAGATTGATTGAACATTGGGCTCACATTATTATTGGTAAATAATAAAGTTGTTGATTATGTATTTATCAAAATAGTTCTTCGTCTTGACAGAGGTGAAGCAGTTCAGATGAGCAGAGTGCATGAAAGACCTTGGCCACTATCTCATGTAAATTACCCTGTCAGAGACTTTATGCCTCTGTTCGAGCAGACGCAGCAGATCATGACCTTTAGGTCAAAAACAGGACATTCATGACGCTACACTAATGAACAACCAAAGGCTCCATGATGCCATCTCGGTTTTGTGGCAAAGTTGTGCCATTGTTTCTAAAAAAAGGCCTGAGTGACCTGTCCTTCAGTTCTTCATGGATCTCACTTCTCTTTGCTAAAATCTAAATATGGCATCAGCCAAATACTTTTTAAACTCGTCTTCATAAATCAGTCATTTTATGGTGGCCAGATCCAACTTTCACATCCTGTTTTTAATTAAGTAGGCATTTAGTGGGCTTTTAAAACACCATCCTGGCAGTTTTCTTGTAGCAGTGGGATGAAAAAAGCTTTGTTTCTGGTGCATTAAGCTAACTGCTTAATGTTAGAATCACTCCATGAGCACACAAACTTGTGTCTGCTTTTATTTAGTTTAATTGACGTAAAGGTACTTCCTGCATTCTGTTTTATTAAACTCTACTTTCTCAAGTTTGCGGTATTAAACTCATCTTCAGATGTCATTCTGCTAGTTTTAGAGCAGTTACGTTTACCACTGAATTTCATGAACACCAAAAAATGAAATACCACTTTGAACTTAAATTTACATTTGAATATACATCTGCCAGTGTTCAGTAATTCTTCCTCCTCTACCTGCAGTGCTGCAGGTTTTTTTTTTCTTAATTTCTTCTTCTGAGCAAACTCATCACATTTTAATGCGCTGTGTCTCCCCACACCAGGTGGTGACTGCCATGGGCAGGACGTGGCACCCGGAGCACTTTGTGTGCACCCACTGTCAGGAAGAGATAGGCTCCAGGAACTTCTTCGAGCGTGACGGGCAGCCTTTCTGCGAGAAGGACTACCACAACCTGTTCTCACCGCGGTGCCACTACTGTAATGGACCCATACTGGATGTTAGTCACACACACACACACGCACACGCACACACACACCAACATACATGCAGCAAAAAGGCAAGTAATGATATTTATTTATTCATGAGCTAATGGCTTTAGTTGAAAATCACTACATGATGAAACTGCTTGTCTTTGTGAGAGAAGATACTGACTATTTAGACACTCGCTGACCTAGAAACAGCTGATCAACCCATCCATTATCATCCGCTTATCTGGAGTCGGGTAGCGGGGGCAGTAGCCTAAGGCGAGAGGCCCAGACTTCCCTCTCCCCAGCCACTTGGGCCAGCTCCTCCGGGGGAATCCCAAGGCGTTCCCTGGCCAGGTGAGAGACATAGTCCCTCCACTCCACCATGTCCTCGGTCTACCGGTCTCCTCCCGGTTGGACTTGCCCGGAAAACCTCACCAGGGAGGCGTCCAGGAGGCATCCTGACCAGATGCCTGAGCCACCTCAACTGGCTCCTCTCGATGTGGAGGAGCAGCGGGTCTTCTCCGAGCACCTCCCGAATGACCGAGCTTCTCACCCTATCTCTAAGGGAGAGCCCACCCACTCTTCGGAGAAAACTCATTTCGGCCGCTTGTATCCGCGATCTCGTTCTTTCGGTCACTACCCAAAGCTCATGATCATAGGTGTGGGCAGGAACGTAGATCGACCGGTAAATCGAGAGCTTCGCCTTCTGGCTCAGCTGTCTCTTCACCACGACAGACCGGTACAACGCCTGCATCACTGCAGATGCTGCACCAATCTGCCTTTCGATCTCATGCTCCATTTTTCCCTCACTCGTGAACAAGACCCCGAGATACTTAAACTCCTTCACTTGGGGCAAGGACCTCACCCCTGACCGGGAGAAGGCATTCTACCCTTTTCCGAATCAAGACCATGGTCTCAGATTTAGAGGAGCTGGTTCTCATCCCGGCTGCTTCACATTCGGCTGCGAACCACTCCAGCGAAAGCTGAAGATCACGTTCTGATGAAGCCAACAGGACCACATCATCTGCAAAAAGCAGAGACCTGATCCTCAGGCCACCAAAATGGATGCCCTCCACACCTTGGCTGTGCCTAGAAATCCTGTCTATAAAGGTTATGAACAGAATTGGTGACAAAGGGCAGCCTTGGCAGAGTCCAACTCTCACTGGGAGCGAGCCCGACTTACTGCCGGCAATGCGGACCGAGCTCTGACACCTGTCATAAAGGGACCTAACAGCCCGTATCAGAGGGCCTGGTACCCCATACTCCCGGAGTACCCCCTACAGGGCCCCCCGAGGGACGCGGTCAAACGCTTTCTCAAAATTCACAAAACACATGTAAGCCCCCTTCAGACAGGCCATGAAAAACGGAAATGTTCCAGACTCTGTCCGTAAGACCTTTGTGTCTGAATACAAACATCCGGATAATGTTTTCCGTAATTAAACCGGACGACGCCCCTAGTAACAGGTCCGGACTTGTCACGGACAAGGTGGCTGCTTCAGACTGGTGAGGTAGAGTTCCGGACAGGGAGGAGGGGGAGGAGGAGGGGACCGGGGGACGCTGTGTGCACCTATAGCTCGCTCCTGTAGCATGCGGCAAACCATGGCAGCTTGCCTCCTACGGTACCGTCTAGCGATGGAGCGCTTCACACCGCTTCCGTGATTCCTTTAACCATTGAGCTTCATCATCCTGGTCTCTTATGCGTCTTCGTGTGCACAGAATTATGCTTAACATAAGTCCGATCCCCCCCCAGACATCTGGAACTTTTCCCTGCTGTGTGAAGGCAGCCGAAAGGACAAGTTCCGGTACAAAAGTGGTGTGTCTGAAAACACAGTTCTGGTTAAAAACCGGACTGAATTGTCCACACATATTCCAGAATGTCAATCTGAAAAGGGTTGTAGACTGGTTGGGCAAATTCCCACGCACCCTCCAGGATCCCCCTAAGGGTGTAGAGCTGGTCCAGTGGGTCACGGCCAGGACGAAAACCACATTGCTCCTCTTGAATATGAGGTTCAACAATCCGATGGACCCTCCTCTCCAGAACCCCTGAATAGACCTTACCAGGAAGGCTCAGAAGTGTGATCCCCTGTAGTTGGAACACACCCTGCGGTCCCCCTTTTTAAATAAGGGGACCACCACCCTGGTCTGCCAGTCCAGTGAGACTGCCCCTGATGTCCACGCGATATTGCATAGCCGCGTCAGCCAACACAGCCCCACAACATCCAGAGCCTTAAGGAACTCCGGGCGGATCCCATGCACCCCTGGAGCCTTGCCACAGAGGAGCTTTGTAACCATCTCAGTGACCTCAGCACCAGAGATTTGAGAGGCCAACCCAAAGTCCCCAGACTCTGCTTCCTCACTGGAAGACATGTCGGTGGGATTGAGGAGGTCTTTGAAGTATTCTGCCCACCGATCCACAACGTCCTGAGTAGAGGTCAGCAGCACACAGTCCCCACTATAGATAGTGTTGGTAGTGCACTGCTTTCCCCCCTTGAGGCGCCGGATGGTGGACCAGAATCTCCTCGAAGCCGTACGGAAGTCTTGCTCCATGGTCTCACCGAACTCCTCCCATACCCAGGTTGTTGCCTCGGCGACCACCCGAGCCGCGTTCCGCTTGGACTGCTGGTACCCGTCAGCTGCCTCTGGAGTCCCACAGGCCAAAAAGACCTGATAGGACTCTTTCTTCAGCTTGACAGCATCCCTAACCGCCGGTGTCCACCAGCGAGTTTTGGGGTTGTCACCATGACAGGCACCGACAATCCTGCGACCACAACTCCGGTCGGCCGCCTCAACAATGGTGGCACGGAACAGGGTCTATACAGACTCAATGTCCCTCGCCTCCCCCGGAACATTTTGGAAGTTCTGTCGGAGGTGGAAATTGAAGCTCTTCTGACAGGAGACTCTGCCAGACGTTCTCAGCAGACCCTCGCGATACGTTTGGGCCTTCCTGGTCTGACTGGCATCCTCCCCCACTATCTGAGCCAACTCACCACCAGGTAGTGGTCAGTTGAACCTGAGTGTCCAAGACATGTGGCCGCAGGTCAGATGAAACAACAAAGTCAATCATCAAAATGCATAGACCACAGTCAGAACCCGTCCCCCCACACGTAGGCGTAGGGATGCTATCCTCTCATTCACTGGGGTAAACCCCAACGTACAGGCGCCAAGATGGGGGAGCAACTAGTATGTCCACTCCTACTCGGCACCTCTCAGTGGGAGCAACTCCAGAGTGGTAGAAAGTCCAACCCCTCTCAAGGAAACTGGTTCCAGAGCCATGCGTTGAGGTGAGTCCGACTATATCTAGTCGGAACATCTCAACCTCAGACACCAACTCAGGCTCCTTCCCCACCAGAAATGCGACGTTCCATGTGCCAAGAGCCAGCTTCTGTAGCCGAGGATCAGGCCGCCAACGTCCCCGCCCTCGACTACCACCCATCACATACTGCACCTGACCCCTTTGGCCCCTCCCACGAGTGGTGAGCCCATGGCAAGGGCGACCCACGTTTCCTCTTCAGGCTGTGCCCGGCCGGGCTCCATGGGTGAAAGCCCGGCCATCAGGCGCTCGCCAACGTGCCCCACCTCCAGGCCTGGCTCCAGAGGGGGGCCCCGGTGACCCACGTCCGGGTGAGGCAACACAGTTTTCATTTATATAATTCATCATAAGAGGTCTTTGGGCTGCTCTTTGTCTGATCCCTCACCTAGGACCTGTTTGCCATGGGTGACCCTTCCAGAGGCAGAAAGCCTCAGACAACTTAGTTCCTAGGGTCATTGGGACATTATTATTTTCTGGACGTGTCGGACACTTTTATCCAAAGTGAGGTGAGGCAGAAAGGCAGTCAAGCACCCCGTGATTTTTATCTTGAGAGGTGCTATAGAAATTGTATTTTCTTCTTCTTCTTCAATTGTGTGTCTTGCCCAAGAACACAACACCAGAATGAGCTGGGATTGAACCAGCAACCCTCTGATTGCTGGACTACCTGCTCTACCTCCTGAACCACTGGTGACACAATTAGTCACTGGCAGGGTTTATTTACCACTCCTCTGTTAGCACTCCTTTCTACAACATTGCTCCCCCTGGTGGAGAATTCCTGGAATCACATTAGTGCAAGAAAAATGAATTGTCACAGTGGTTAATATGTAATTGTTTAATGTGTAATTGTTTTAGACTTTATTAAATCTAAAGCTGCTGTAAAACGTGTTATTAACGTTTCTGCACCTCCCTCACTGCTCCAGTCTGGATTAGCCTGCCCTCTCCTGGCCTCCACTGATGGTTGATTTATGAAATGACAGCTAAACATTCCCACACATTGACTTTGTTTTTCATTAGAAATCAATTTTACTTGTAGTTGTTAGTCTAATAATATATAAATTGCATAACTGTAATAATTTCCTCTTGTTTGTGTTTACAGAAAGTAGTGACAGCTTTGGACAAGACATGGCATCCAGATCACTTCTTCTGTGCCCAGTGTGGAGCCTTTTTTGGACCAGAAGGTACCAGCCTCAACGATGTTTAATCAGGTCATCCAAGCAGAAAGCTGAGTTTTAGTGAGCGTGTATTTTTGCTGCTCTCTAGGTTTCCATGAGAAGGATGGAAAGGCGTTCTGCAGAAAGGACTACTTTGATATGTTTGCCCCTAAATGTGGAGGCTGTACTCGAGCCATCCTCGAGAACTACATCTCTGCTCTGAATTCACTCTGGCACCCCGAGTGCTTCGTCTGCAGGGTGAGCCCCTGGACATGTCGCCACCAAATGACACTGAAAGTTTACAAAATAGTTTGTATAAACTTCTTTTCGTTTTCAGGAGTGCTTCACACCATTCATAAACGGCAGCTTCTTTGACCACGATGGCCAGCCGTACTGTGAGGCTCATTACCACGAGCGGCGTGGCTCGCTGTGCTCTGGCTGCCAGAAGCCCATCACGGGCCGCTGCATCACGGCCATGGGAAAAAAGTTTCACCCAGAGCACTTTGTGTGTGCTTTCTGCCTCAAACAGCTGAACAAGGGCACCTTCAAAGAGCAGAACGACAAGCCCTACTGCCACGGCTGCTTTGTCAAACTCTTCAGTTAGACGTCGTGTCTGTCATGTCTGCAAACATGTGTAAGTCAGAACGCACAAGTGTCCAAGTGCATCTACAAATCAGCGGTTTTTAACACGTTTTTTCTAAAAACACGAGTAGAAAATGTCTATTAGCTGTGACACTGAACAGACTTCTCTTGATGTCCACGTTGACTTGAGACATTTTAACAGAGCCCAAAGAGATTTTTATTCCTGTTTGCGACAGAAACAAGCTAGAAAGTTGCTCCTTTCCCCTTGTGTTTGTGTACATAACTATTTTCTTCCTACAGTGCAGGGCAAGTCCTTGCATCACATGATGGTGAGTCTATGTGGACACAGTTTTATGCAGATGTGAGATAAGCTGCTTGACTGCATGGACCATTAACAGCTAACCTAAAGTATCAGTTTAATGAGTGTAGAATTGCAGTGTTTAGCCAATGAGTGCTAAAAACAGGTATTTTTCTAGCCTATGAGGTGCCATTTAAAAAAAAAACAACACTTTTAATAAGTACTTGCACAAACACACATCCTCTTCACTTCTTTGACAAACAAGTGTAAGAACTTCAAATATGATCTTAAAGATGTTTATCTTTTTCTACAACTACCCTCAGTTTTGGCATACATTTTACTTCTATTACTGCTGATCTTTTATTTTGTTGTTAAAATCAAATGGAAAATTATGGTATTTAAATGTTTCTCTTTAAACCATCGAAAGAAAGATCTCTGTTCTAACTAAACCACAACAATAGCTGTTTCCATTACCTGAACCCCAGGGTAATTCCTGGAACAGGGAAATTGACCAGGAAATAGGATGTCCCGGTCCTCCTAGCTGTTGTCTCCACTCAAATTTAGCACTTTCAGAACTTTTCTCAGACGTCAGCATATCGTGACTGCTTTGGCAGTGAGTGGTGTCACCTATCAGCACCAAAGAGTTTCCACAGTAACATTAATAACATTAAAAGCATTTATTCAGTCGAAGTTTATCATAATTGAATCCATTCGGAGGACGAGAGCCGCTGTGTGATGTAAAATGTGGTGTTCAATGACCAGAAGAAGTGCCGTTTTTTATAGTCCTTTGTGACACGACAAAGCCCCATTATTTAAGTCGTTGCAGGGGAATTCCCCTGTTTATTCCAGTGTCGGAGACTAGTAACAGCTGGGGTGGAATTCTGCCATGTTTTCCGGTGTCGGGAGTTGGATTTTAAGCGCAATCTGTGCTTATTTCCTTTGCTTCCATTCTGCTTCACCAGCAACTATTCTAATTTTACTAATGCTCTGCTGATGTCATTTCCTACTGAGTTACAACCAATCAGTGTGAGTTAACCAGAGGTTCTACTCAGCCACTCCACCCACCCAGCCGTTTGGAGTACCTACCCCTGAGCAGGTACTCAGAAGGTTCCAGAAAACGGCCCGGTCAACTGGAGACACGCATGTCGAGTTTCCTGTAGATCTACCCTGAAGTTCTGGTAATGGAAACGTAGCTAACATGTTAAAGTTCATTTATAATGCTCTTTTTTTTAAATTCTTGTTAAAAATCAGGTCTATAAATGTGGTTGCTATGGTTATGTTTTAAACTGTGGTGCAATTAAGGAGAAAAAACAAGTTAAAACAAATGAGATTGTCTTTATGAACACGGGTGTTTTTCTGCTTGCTCAGTCATTAAAGAGAAACAATCTAATATTTTTTTAAATTTGCCACTTGTCTGAATTTATCGTATCAAGTCGATATGTAAGGTTTACAATGATTGTGCGTTTTGAACAGAAGCATGCTTGTTTCTTTTAGTTTTATTAGAACCAGCCTCCAGTTGCTGTAACAATCAGAATCTAAATTTCTATGCCTGCAGTCACTCAACATGGTGGCAGAACTGTGTTTTGTCTGTTTTTTTTTTTTTTGATGAAGATATATTTTTGAGCTAGTAAGGCTCACACTTTTATGCTAAGAGCTGGCTCTGTTAGTATGTAGCCTACTGTAACAAGAGTTTTCCCAAATCCCATTTCTTCAAACGTCCACCAGCTTAGATTCCAGTGGGTCAGACTTCAGAGGATCCTGCATTTTTATTAGAAATCATAAACTGTGATCCTTGCATCAGTGCAACAGTCACTGATGGAAGCTGGATGCTATTACTTGCTGGTCGGGACTCACCCCAAACCAGGGCCATTTGATTTTGTTTAATCACCACTCTGATTATGGCTGATGTTGTTATAAGGGATGAGTAAGGGAAGATCATGGCCTTTTTTTAAATCCATGCAGAAGTCAAAACACATTAATTTCATTCAAGGTTTTGTTGCTTTTTGTGCCAAACGTGTCAATGCAATAAGGTCGTACACACTGTGGAAACCTCAGGCTTTCCTGGGATTTCACCATCTCTGGGCTGAACTCTGGAAAAGGCTTCACTGCTGTGGTGTATCTGAGCTGAATTAAACACTGTAATAGAAGAGCTGAGGACTCCTTCAATCGCCGCATTCACCTGTAGCAGAATCAGATAAGTGGGATGTAGCGGGGGCGAATGTGAGTGCTGTAAAAATGTGTGTTTGCACAGTAAACTGCCTTATTTTTGCTTTTATCAGAGAACAATCAGCCTTATTACTTTTACTCCAAATATGTGACCTGCTTCATGGAGAAACCATTCATCTGATTGTTTACTGTTTGAATTTCATTATGAGCCATAAACCTGTGTGGGGGAGATGTAAAAAGGGTTTTTTGGGCCCTGATTATTGATTAACATCTGCAAATAAAATATCAAGTCTTTATTTCTGGCATTGTTTCATTACTTCTGTGGTTTAGTATTTCATACAAAATGTGACCATTTTTTATCAGTGTTTGCTTTAGCACTTGTACACAAAATAAAAACAGTGGAAGTGATAGTTTTGTTTTCATAAATCAATCTTCAGAATTAAATATGCACACAGTAGGACAGCCGCAGGCTGAGCTATCAAAGCTCTGATTAATTGTTTGGTCATAAATCTGAGTGGATGCCCTGCTGAAGTTCAGTACACCTGGCTGACACAAGGACAGTGAAAAGCATCTCTCTGGGGGCTAGAAGTTACAACTCGGAGCCTGTTCCTTGTTAGAGTCTGAAGCTTTTTGTAAAGATCAGACCAATGTCCCCTATCCAGAATCTCCAAGCACTCCAGGTCCTGCAGCTGCTGGAGGCGTAAGAAGTCTTTCTCGGGCACGTGATCCTGGCGAAGTTTGAGACTTCTGAGCTTTGGGAATAATTCTGGGATGCGAGCGGTGTGAGCTCCCAGATGTGAAGGCCAAGCATCTATGTGGAGGTGAAGGAGATCAGGCACCTGCTGAGCCACAGCTGCCATGTCTCTGGGGGACAAACCTGAAACACACAGTGTGAGATTGGTGACGGTGGCTGGAATGGAGGTAGCATACATCCTCACAGGCGGGCCTTTGACAACAGTCAGGTTAGATAGCTGGGCGGATTCACTCAGCCATGTTTTCAGGTAAACCACAGATGCGGACAACGCTTCTGGCCTCCCCTGATGTGAGTGTTTGAAGAAAACACGAAGACACTTCAAGCCAGATATCATCTGCCCTACGTCTTCTGGCGATGAAAGATCCAAGCAGTCGATAATTTCAAGACTGGATAAGGATGTGACTGGTTTGAAAATCGATCCATCTCTCTGGGGACTGATGTACTTAGCAGATAGAGAGAGATGCTTCAGTTTGGGCAGGATGGAAACAAGCGTGTCGACCATTCTGTCACGCTGTCCAAAACTATTGGTATTATGGCACACCACAGATGTGAGACTGCTGAGGAACGGCAGTAAATTTAAAAAGCTCCAGTTAGATTTGTTTGGGAACAAAACGTTGCACATGCTCAGGTGAGTGAGGTGCTGGAGCTGGGTCTGGGGGAGTAGATCTAACAACACAGCACTACTTCTGATGGCCAGGCGATTCAGGTGTGAGAAGTCCTGTAAGAAGTTAAGGTTTCCATTGGAGTTTTGATCCATAATCACTGTGGTGAGGGTAGGAAGAGCCAGCGAAAGGCGACTCCAGTCCTTGGTTTTGGTGTTTCTCATCACCACACTGGACACCTTCCTGCGACGGAGACTGTCCCAGAACTCAGAGTTGTAAGGGCCATTTTTAAAACTCAAAACTATAGTCCAGTTTTTCCAAAGAGACCAGTGGTCAATAAGTTTTCGGAAGTACCTGCAGGATGCCCGGACACTGAATTTATCCGCTGCTGACAGGTATTGAAAAATGTGGTTCCAGACTTCAGACGGAAAGCGGACAGGGGAAAGCGCCATCGTTCACGTGGTTGTTCCAGCTTCTTGTCTTCTGCACATGGTTTAATTATAGTTGGCAAGCAACGTTAAGATGCATTACCGCCACCTACTGGGATGGAGTGAAACTAGCAGCGGGCTGCCATCTTGGATGGGTTCCAATTCTCCCCAGTGCATTTTTACTACTGAGGAAGGGGTTTGGGCAAGGGGCTTAACCCTCCCTGCCTGCTTGTGCTGTGTACGGCAGCCTCGCCTCTGTCAGTGTGCCACAGGACAGCTGTGGCTGCATTGTAGCTCATCATCACCAGTGTGTGAATGTGTGTGTGAATAGATGAATGATGCACTGTAAAGCACTTTGGAGTTCTCTGACTCTGAAAGGTGCTAATTGAGTGCAGGTTCCTTCACTATTTAACATGAATACAATCAAACCTGTAATACATAATTTGTTTTTGTTTTTCATTATGACTCACTGTATATTATAGACGTTCCATTTTCTTTCACTTTTATAAGTGAATTTTCATTTTCTTTCTTATTTCGTAATTGAAATGTGTCCATTTCCCTCATTTTTATTGTTTTCAATCATTTTATAAAAACATTATGCAATATATAAACTATTTAAACATTTTTATATTGTGTTCTTGTTAAGCACCCCGTAATTTTTATCTTGAGAGGCGTTATATAAAAAATCGTTTCTTCTTTTGCTTTTGAAAAATGTCCAAGTCTAACCAGCTGTAATAACACCAAACACACACAGGAGGGCGACATTTGCCCAACAGAAAGTTGACGTTCACCTGGTTTAAACAACTTTTATTTTATTTATTTATTTTTTTTTGTATTAGTCAAAGTAAACAATACAAACATTTACGGCATGAATTACAGATTCATCTTCAAGGGGTAGAAAGGCAGTGAAAACAAAACATAACTATAAAATAAAACATATAAAATAAAGAAAACATTAAGTAAAGTGAGGGACTTAGATTTTTGCTGGTTTGAATAGAAAATGTTCTTATTTTGAATTTAGTGAATTCCCATTTATTACTAAAACTATTTATGCCAGCATCCTTTTCAGTACTAGATATTATTTCTCTTATTTTGCAGCAGTATTCATTATGTTTTAATAGGTCAGAGTTGAATTTCCAATAAGCTTTGTTTTTTTTAAAGTGGGATTCAAATTAAAAGTCAGCTGAATTATACAGTGATCAGTTAAAGGAGCCCTGGAAATTGATACATCTGATGAAAAAGTCTCTAGCGAATTAGCAGTAAGCCAATAATCAATCCTAGATTTAGCAGAATTATTTGGTTTGTGCCAGGTATTATGTTTTTCCCTGGGGTTCTGAGTTCTCCAGATATTAATCAGGTTATTATCTTGGATAAAATCTTCAATACTAGAATTAAAATGATGATTGTCAAATTTAGAAGGCCATCTATCTACCCATTCATCGGGCACCATATTCCAATCGCCTCCAAATATAATATAATCAGTGGGATGGAGAGCTCTAAGCTCATCTATTTCTAACGTAATAATATTGAACATTTGCCTGTTATGCACAACAGATTTGTGGCCTTATGAATTCACTAAAATTAAAAAAATGGCTTTCAATCTTTAGACTGCAATTATCCAGTGGCCCTCTTTATCAGATTTATGTGTAATTACCTCACCTGGAAGTCTATGAAAACATATAGCTACACCAGCAGATTTGTTGCTTCCATGGCTAAATAAAATTCAATCACCCCACATATTGGACCAGAAGTTTACATCTGCATCGGAAGAATGAGTCTCCTGTAGAAAAAAACAATTTGCTTTCTGCCCTTTGCAAAACAAAAACAAGGATTTCCTCTTTACCGAGTCCTTAAGTCCCCTCGCATTCAAAGATGCCAAAGAAATAGTGCAACTGAACATTCAGAACAATAAATAATAAAACAAAACTAACAATACAACTTGAGTGCTTAGAAGATAAAACTAACTTTTCTTCTTAATTAACCAGCATGCAACAGTATTCCCTGGTACCTTAATTCACTCGAAAAGTGCATTTTTAAAGTAGAGCCTTTTGGGGTTAGCAAATTTTCCGACCTTCTATGAATCAATTCAATTCAATTCAATTCAATTCAATTCAATTCAATTCAATTCAATTCAAAGATACTTTGTTAATCCCAGAGGGAAATTCGAGTTTCAGTGCACACAATTCTGAGATCAGATATACATACATAGGCATAGACACATGACAAGAATTGTTGACTGTGGTCATTCGCAACCCGAGTCGCGCTACCTTAATAGAGATCAGAGGGTATGAGGACTGAGTCAGGTGGAGGAAAAAAAGGCACTTCAGAGTTACCCTCCACAGGGAGGGCAGCTTTGCTATGCAAAAACACCTCAGACAGAAATGCAACAGACTTCAGACATCACACAACATAAGTGTCCACTAGGTGGGGAGGTAGGGTTGGGGACTCTCCACACGTCAGTGCGTGCAGCCGCGATAAGCAGCGCTCGTCACCTCTGTTTGGACAGGGGAGGGAGGTAATTGGGTTAGAGAGCACAGTGACTCCTGTAAATGATTCAACGGCCTTCACCAGTCGCAATCCCGCCCAGGCTGGGATACGGAGACAGAGTTGCCATGGCGACAGCAGCATTCCACATTTCTTCTGAGGGGGGAGTATTCACTTCAGCCTCACAGGCTCAAGGGCACCAGATTCAGATAAGAACTTGTTTTGGGGCCAGACAGAGATAATTTCCTCTCTGTCTTAAAGTTCCATTGGTCTCCAACCCCTCTAAATCTAATAATGGTGTAAATTAATCGATCCCAATCCACGCTGATCCGTCAACTCTATCCTTGATGTCATCAACCTTCTTTGCCTGAGTCTGAATCTCAGCCAAAGTTCCAAGCTTACGACTCATTTTGACGATTATATGAGTTTGTGCGTTCACAGCGTGGTGTAATCCATCCCTGAGCTCCGGGATTGAGCCAATATTCCTTGACAGCTCATTAATTTTCCAGTAAGGCAGGTAACCACTCAGGCTGTTCGCATCCTACTTTCCACCAGGTAAAAGGAGTTTAGCCGGCTTCAGAACATTATTTTGGCTCATTTTGAAATTCTGAGTGTGACTTTTAAAAGAAAATTTGGGACAAACTGTAGCAGCCTTCGTTTCGCGCTGCTGTTCAACATGCCATCTGCCATGCCAACGTTGGAAGTCTTGGTTTAAACAACTGACTATATGGTCAGTGTAATTTGTGGTATTTGAATTTTCTCAGTTGCTCTTAAAAATGATTTCTCCATAATAAAAAAAATCTTCGAAAACCGTTGGAAACCCCCTTGCTACTAAACTTTATGCCTTATTAGAACAGCTTGATTTTACTTGAATTTATTTAATCTCTTTTTCATAAGAAAAATAGATCCTCTTTGAGATTTGTTTGGACTTTTTTTCTTGCTTCCATTTTGTTCCCCTCTTATTCTTTTCCTTACTTTTTTGTATAATTGATTGATATATGTGACACACTAAAGTTCTGCTCTTTTTTGCTAATTTATATATATATATATATATATATATATATATATATATAGCTTGTTGGAGGTGCAATTTTATTTAAAGATTTGTACTTGAATTGCTAAGGGAATCGTGTTATTGTTCTTTTTGTTAATAAAGTTTTTTTTAGAGTTGACACGAAAGTGATGGTTAGTTACTAAAATGATGGACAGGAAAATGGTCCAATGAATGTGAAGTTTGCCCTGTCTCTGTGCTCTGGTTGGTCGACAGTTTTGAATAAATACTTCTCGCGGCCAACCTCGCCCTCTTTCTTTCACGCGCCCTGCTGCTTGGTGAGCCATGTTGTCTTGTTGCGTTCACAAACCAAAATAAAAGATTAGTTATTTGTAACATATTAAAAGTGTGCATTGACTTCATTTAGATACGCTACCCAATGATGTGTAGCTCTTTATCCTTTTCTAAACACGTAATTCGTTTACGTTAAATGCGGCCTGTTTGGCTAACGCTAACCAGCTAATGTCAGCCGTCGACCTCGTGGGAGACGGTAGAGTTTCTAACACTTCTGGTATTTGTTCTAAATTGAGTTTGGTTAAAACTCAATATGTTTTCTGATTATAGATTTCACCTTGTCTTTAAACCGGCTGTAAAGCGATCCTTGGAAGCACTGTCAAGATGCCCAGGGAAGACAGGGCCACGTGGAAGTCAAACTATTTTATGAAAATCATCGTAAGGTTGATCTTTACGCTAACAGCGGACGTGATTTGACCAGTTTCCGCAGTTAAATTAACACGCAGTGTTCTATGTGCAGCAACTTCTGGATGATTACCCAAAATGCTTCATCGTGGGGGCAGACAATGTGGGCTCCAAGCAGATGCAGACCATCCGTCTGTCTCTGCGTGGGAAAGCTGTGGTGCTGATGGGTAAAAACACCATGATGCGCAAAGCCATCCGTGGTCACTTGGAGAACAATCCTGCCTTGGAGAAGTGAGTTTTATGCTAACAGCTTTTTGTTGGTGCTTTCCATGGAGCAGGATCTCTACTGTACAGCTTGTGTGGTGCTGTATTGTCGTTCCCCCTGCTGAAAGTAACATGTCTCCTGCTATCCCTGACTGTCTATGTCCCCCGGCAGCCAGGGACGCAAGGTCTCAAACAAGCATAACTAAAGAATGTCAAAAATCATTGTCTGAATTAGCCAATCTTTTGTTTTGACAGGCTTCTTCCCCACATTAAAGGAAATGTGGGGTTTGTTTTCACCAAAGAGGACCTGACAGAGGTCAGGGACTTGCTGCTGGCTAATAAGGTAAATGAATAGTGTCTGGTACAGAAATTATAAAATTTATGGTAATTTAAGTCATTTTTACTTCATAATCATGTGAAACGCGTACAGCGATAACATTAGAATGCACATTTTTGTGTGGAAATCTTATAAGTGTGCAGGATAAGTTACAATACAGCCAGTTCTGTACTGTATTGTCGTTCCCCCTGCAAACAGTGACTTGTTTCCTCGCTATCCCTGTCTGTCACTACGTATTGACTCTCAGGGACGTAAGGTTTCAGACATTATAACGACTATAGATACTGATTTAGTTTTAGGGTTAACGTTTAAGATTTTGTTTGACAATGACAATTTTTCCTGACATTATTCCTCAGGTACCTGCAGCTGCTCGTGCTGGAGCCATCGCCCCTTGTGATGTGACGGTGCCAGCTCAGAATACTGGCCTAGGTCCTGAGAAGACCTCGTTCTTCCAGGCTCTTGGTATCACCACCAAAATCTCAAGAGGAACCATTGAAATTTTGGTGAGTTTAGACAGCTGTTCTAGTTTTTAATTTTAGATGGAAAATTGGAAATCGATACCATGCATTTTTAAAAATCTTCAAAAGTGTGGCAAAGTGCACCCAGTAACTGCTGCTTTTGGTTTTTTTAGAGTGATGTCGGCTTGATCAAAACCGGTGACAAAGTTGGTGCCAGCGAGGCAACTCTGCTCAACATGTTGAACATCTCACCCTTCTCCTTTGGACTCATCATTCAGCAAGTGTATGATAATGGCAGTGTTTACAGCCCTGAGGTGCTTGACATCACAGAGGCTTCTTTGCACACCAGGTTCTTGGAGGTGAGGCACAAGGTCTATTAACATTTTAATGTTCAGGGACATTATATGTCTAAATTGCACTTTTCTTAACTTGTCCAGGGTGTGAGGAACATTGCTAGTGTGTGTCTGGAGATTGGCTATCCCACTTTGGCCTCTGTCCCCCACTCGGTCATCAATGGCTACAAGAGAGTCCTGGCTGTCGCTGTGGAAACGGATTACTCCTTCCCCCTGGCGGACAAGGTGTTTGACTCATTCTGCTTTAAATTGTTTTTGGTTAACTTGTAAACCTGTTGGTGTAGCATGCATCGTGCTGCACGGCTGATCCTTATGCAAAAGGCATGTTAAATTCACGTCTGTTAGGAGTGCTTATTTTTGACTAATAGCATAACTAGAAATTAACACTTTGATATGTCCTCCGCAGGTCAAAGCCTTCCTGGCTGACCCATCTGCTTTTGCTGCTGTCGCAGCACCTGTAGCAGCTGCAGCAGTCTCTACAGCTTCAGCTCCTAAGGAGGAGGTGAAGGAGGAGTCTGAGGAATCAGATGATGACATGGGCTTTGGTCTGTTCGACTAAACCTTCTGTGAACAGTGAATGAGTCAAAGATCTTGATTCAATAAACTTTAATAAAACACATTCCTTGTGTACGTTTTTGAATATTTTAGGAGATAAACATTTATAACAGAAACAAGATACTATGGATTCCATGTAATGGTCTCAGATTAGCTGGGAAAGGAGGATGGGTCTGTAACAAACCAGATGATGCATCAGAGTGACGTTAAACATCAAGAACATTAAAACTTCCGGTTTGGGTGTGTCAACCTTCAAAATAAATTGATTACTTGATAAAAGTTCTGTAGAAATCGAAATCTCGGAATTGAATGATCTACAGTATTTAAAGGGAGGCTTGTGTAATGAGAAATATTATTTTATATATAGTTTTCCATCTGACCAAACAATGTTAACTTGATTTTATTTTTTTACCAGAAGAAATCTCAATGAGGTTAAATGTCAGTTGATCAAAACGTTTAAAGAGAAAAAATATCTATTGCATTCTACTCCGTGACAAAGTGAAAGGAATAAGAATATGTTTAAAATATAATTCCATTTTAAAGCATGCGTGTCCAACATTGACCTTTTATTGTGAAAAGCATGAACCGGAAGTGGAACTGGTGTGGTTACAGATGAACAGCAGCTTTAAGAGAATCCTTCGCTATGGCTGAGGTTAGTTTTCATGGTTTATTCCTTTTAAAAATAAATGTTTACTGCAGAAGCGGTTATTTTTATAGTTTTAAGGTTAATCTGTGAATTATTTTGAGTGCAAACTCTTATTTTGTTACCAGTATCGAGCTGCCAACAGTCACGAAAGCCTACGTGTTTTTGGCTAACAATATCCCAAACAAATCCCAGTATCTTGTTAAATTTTGTAATCAATGTCTCTTTTAGCGTAACCTTATGTGGTTCTTAACTAAACAGTTTGCTGTAAGACGGTATTTTACACACTGCCTATCTGCTTTAATCGATCTAGTGTGTGGAACCAAAAGGTGGCGTACGTCAGAGTTTGTGTTAGCTAGTTTGGTTTTTGTTCAGACCCACAGCTTACAGGACCTCCAGCAGCCAGCTGTCTCCTCTAAGGTGTATGTTCAAAGGGACTACAGCTCCGGAACCATATGCAAGTTTCAGACCAAGTTCCCCTCCGAACTTGAGTCCAGGGTAAGTAGCATTTACCTGTTTGTTGACACGAGTACGTTAGGGTTGTGTTTAACCTGCTGGCTCGGTTTCAGCTGGATAAGCAGCAGTTTGATGAGACCATCCAGACTCTGAACAACCTGTATGCGGAGGCAGAGAAACTCGGGGGGAAGTCCTACCTCGAGGGCTGCCTGGCCTGTGTCACGGCCTACACCATCTTCCTCTGTATGGAGACACACTATGAAAAGGTAAACCTGACTCAGTGGGATGACCTCTGTGGCACTGTTTATATCAGTGTTCTGTGTAGAGGCTGACATTATTATGTTCTGTGCTGTTTCCTGTCCATGAAAAGGTGTTGAAGAAGATTGCCAGATACATAAAGGACCAGAACGAGAAGATCTATGCTCCCAGGGGCTTGTTGCTGACAGACCCCATTGAGAGAGGCCTTAGAGTCGTATCCTGAACTTTGCTCATTTTATGATTTTTTTTAAAAGACCATTTAGGGTAGCTAAAATCACATAATCAGGAGTACATGTATATTGTTCTCCCTCATTTACTTAAGATTCCCAACACATTTTTTGTGGCTGAAATAACTAGAGGTTTGTTGACTCAAAGTAGGGAAGAATTGGTTCACTTTTTCATGTTAAACCTCATAAACGTAACTAGAATATTTTCACACTGCTTCACTTTGACATGGAACACTGCTTGTGTTGTTCTTCGACTAAGAAAATGGGCTTTACACAGAAAACAATCATCCAATGCCAAAGTAAACCAGTGTTAAATAATCAATTCAAATTTTCATAATTTATCAAGGTTTTAAGTTATGAAATTTACCCTTAATTTGCTGCTTTCAAGTAACCGGTTGCTTAATTTGCTGGATAATATAGAAAATCCTCAAAATACCCTTCTTCAAACTAAAGACCCAAAAAGAATCAGTTGTTAAATGAATAATCGAGATGTACAGATGTGAACAGAAGTTCAGCGGGATTATGTTTGATCAATATGTCACGCCATTGTTAAAATTATTATCTTGGGGCAGCAGTAGCACAGGAGGTAGAGAGGGTTGTCCAGTAATCGGAAAGCTGCAAGTTTGAATCCCGACTCCCGCCAGAGAATTACGCCGTTGTTGTTGAATGATACATTGTCGTATTATTAAAATGATGGTTGCAGTTATTTTTAGTGGTAAAATGCTCTTTTATGTTGATTTTGAATTGTGGATTTTTCCTTAACTTACCATTTTCAGGTCGAAGTTACCATCTTTGAAGACAGAAGCATTGGCTCTGGAAGATAAAGAAACTTCCAAATCCATTTCTAATAAGAGTCAGCTTCACTTGGAAAAATGTTGTTGGAGCTGTAAAAACAACACGTCAGCGATTCTGTAGAAAAAATAAAATAAAATTCCAGGATTCCAACAGCTCCCTTCAAAGAAAGAAACAAGAAGCCCACTATGAAGGCTTGTTGTTTTTTTGTCCGCGAGAGTAATCTCAGAGAAGTCATGTGAATTTTTCAAAATGATTAAGACCTCCACAACAGTTGGCACAAACACTTTAGTTCATATCCTCCAGCATAATTCTTCTCTCTACCTCGGCTTACTGTTTAGGCTGTTGGTTGACCAGATTCACTTTCATGAGCAGACACACTCGTGAACTTTCTGTAAATTTTTCATGTAATCATCATTTTCCCTGTTATTTATTAGGACTCTGCTTGTTTGTGTTTCTGTGTTTTCTTGTCTTTTTTTTTTTACACATCCGTTGCCTGTATTGTGACCCCAGTTTATCCAAATCAGTCTTAATCAACCGTGCCATTGTGTTGCCTCTTTTTAAATCACTGTAATTCCAAATGTTTTGTTGTATGTGCTGTTTTCAAAATGTAAAAATGCCGTATTTTATACTGATCCAGATTAGGTGTGATTATTGGCAGCACATGGCATTCGTTGTATTGCATAGTCCTATATTGTGTTAACATGTAGGTCAGGTTATAGCAGTGGTGTCCAGTCTTGGTCCTTGTGGGCCACCATCCTGCCTGCCTGCAACTTGCCTGATTTGAATCAAAGTGTTTTTGAGAGGCTCCTGCAAAACTTGTGGAGGTTCTTTGGAGGTAATTCTGCCACTGAATCAGGCTTGTTGTAGCAGGAAAATATAAAACATGTAGAGTTGTTGACGGTGTAAAATGTACATTTTTCCAAATGAACTTTTGTGTTTCATAGAAAGACCATTTAGAAAAATCTTTAACACGTTCAGAAGCAGCACAACACTGTCAAAGTTGCACAGTTTTGCATAAAGTTTATTTAAAAATATAAGCACACTTCACACCTTTAGCTATCCTGCTTGTTTCAGTTGTTTCCATACTTCAACTTATTGATTTTAATCATTGCTTTATCGCTTTGGTTTCTCTTTGTGTTTTTCAGACAGTCACTCATTCATTGAAACTAGAAGTGTTTGGTGCAGTTGAGGACCACTAATGGCTTAGAGCAGGCGTGGGGAACCCTGGTCCTCGAGGGCCGGTGTCCTGCGTGTCTTTGCTCCAACACTTCTGATTCAGTGGTTGATTCACCTGTTCAGCAGCTCATCAGGCTCTGCAGAAGCCTGTTAATCACCTGCTGATTGAAATCAGGTGTGTTGAAGCAGGGTTGAAACTAAAATATGCTAGATAGCGGCCCTCCATGGACCAGGGTTCCCCACCCCTGGCTTAGAGTTTTGTTCAAATAAACATTTTATTTAATAAAAATGTATAATCATTGATGGGATAAGAGATGTTTCAGATGTTGTAAACTTGTAGTTGTAGACTTTTTGTGGCTTCTAAATTGGAGCATATTTACCAAGTTTACTATAATCCAGTACTGCTGTGCATTATTCAAGTGCATTAAATATCCCAAATTAGATTCAGCTCTGAACTAGTTGCAAATATTGTCCTAATCATTATTCTTGGAAATGACAGAAATGTAAACTCTCCAGTTAATTGTGTTTTCTAAAACTTTCTTTTGAATATTGATATTTCATCAGAATAAATTGCAGTTTCCTGAAGTTTGCCTCAACTTTTATTCTGAAAGTAACAAACCGGAAATGTTTCCTCCGCTGTTTTAAAACTACTTCCTGTGGGTCAGTATGCTAGGGTTAAGGCGCTCGTTAGCGAGAGAATCGTAACCCGCCTGTGTGAAGAGATTTTCTGTGTCGAAACAACGTTTCAGCCTCAGCGGTGAGTTCAAGCAGGGTGTGGTTAAAACTACACGTAATTTTTAAACGACGAATCAATCATGTTATGTTTAATGCAGAAAATATTAAAACAAAAAGTCCTAAACTAACAATATTTTGAGATGTTTGTTTTATGCTTGCTATCTATCTACACTCAACAAAAATATAAACGCAACACCTTTGTTTCTGCTCCGATTTTTCACGAGATGGACTTAAAGATCTAAAATTCATTCCAGATACACAATATTACCAATTCTCTCAAACATTGTTCACAAATCAGTCTAAATGTGTGATAGTGAGCACTTCTGCTTTGCTGAGATAATCCATCCCACCTCACAGGTGTGCCACATCAAGATGCTGATCCGACATCATGAGTAGTGCACAGGTGTACCTTATACTGCCCACAATAAAAGGCCAGCCTGGAATGTGCAGTTGTGCCTGCCTCTTGGCCAGATCGTCGTAAATGAGAATGAGTTCTCAATTGTCTCATCTGGTTAAACTAAACGTTAAACAAATAAGTGTCTCTGTGGAGGAGCAGATAAGGGGAACAACAACTCCTGTAACTGAAAATGAACCAGATGTCTTCCCAGTTTTTCTTTAACTTGAATTTAGCATCAGTTTATCATTGTGAAACAAAAGAAAGTGCAACAAGAACATCTAGAGTGGAACAGCAGCACAATGTTCTTTATTTCTCTTTGTTTTCTCATTCACAATTAAGAGAGATTGATTAGATTCTGACAGCACAGAGAGTCGGAACACCACGGTAAAAAAAAAACTGCATTATACTCGATTATAGTGTGCTTCTTCAACGATTCATTATTCTTTATGTCCACATCTCGATGCATCGATTATTAGATTATTTTCTTCAGCTCTAGTGTGTGTGTGTGTGTGTCAACCCAGGTGTGAACAGTCTTTTAGAGCTGGTGTGATTCCACAGAGGCAAACGTTGACAAGTCAAATTAGTGTTAATCTGTTCCAGTTTCCACATGCTGTATGTTTTAATTTAGATGTCTAAGTCTGTAATCTTACTAAGGCTCAAAACTGTAAAAACAATGCATAGCTGACATTAAGATTCATTTATTCATTCTAAACTAACCCCACCCTTATGTCAGCAGGTGCTGTATTTCTCTGTTTACCCTGGCATTTTATTGTTCCGATGGAGAGATATCTTCCAAAGCAAGAAAGTCAATTCCAGCATCTTGTCATGGTTGATTTAGTGACATACCAGCAGCAAAACCACAGTAAAAGGTACGTCTGTTTATCACTCATAGATCATCACCACGGAAACTAACAAGTTTCTGTTTTATCACATCAACTTTTAGGGAGCCTAAGTCACGCCCCTCTACTTCCGGACCATGGGTCTCTGGAAGACCGAAAAAAATGAATGCAAGTCAATGGGGCAAAAAATGCTATTTTCTAATTCCCCCGCCATGGATTTCACATATGATGTCCATGAATTTTAAAGAAGCCTTTTGATACCAATAACACGCTTATTTTCGAACGAGGGGAAATGCCATTTTGGGTTTTGTGTGAAAATAAGTCCAGGACTACAAATGTGCATCACGAAAGTGACGTCATGGAACCAGTCACAGAGAAAACTGAGGGAAAATTGCTATAAATTCAGCAAACTTCTAATCCTTCCCACAGGAGGAAAGAACCACCATAAATCTGGCCACGTGGTAAGTAGCAGCTACGCTAGGGTAGAGGAGATTATGTGGTGATGTTACATATGCAATGTGCCGATGTAGTCATGCTAATTCTGAACTTTTACAGGCTTGGTCAAAACACTCATCATTACTTTTCATTTAAATTGTAGTACAGCAAATTTTCGATGCAGGGCATAAGGCAAAGTGGATTAGAAAATAGCTCTTTTAGCCCCATTGACTTGCTTTCATTTTTTCATTCTTCCGGGGACCCCTGAGCCGACCAGAAAGGGAGGACACCTAGGTTCCCTATTATGTAGAAATGAAGTAAAAATGACATCCTCTGGTAAGATTTGGTTACTGCAACCACTTAAAGCAGCTCTGGAGTTTTTCACTGGCTGTTGTCAAATGTGTACAGCCACATCTTATGGGATGCAAACTGCTGAACCTGAATGTTAACCCCCATCTCATCCTCTGGGCCCTCTCCTTACCACGGGGAGGGAGCAGAGGGTCAGGGTTAACGGCCATCACAGTACTGTCAGGTCACTCTCCACTGGTTCCCCACACGGTTCAGTCATCTCTACACTCCTGTTCATCTTATACACCAATGACCGCAGGAGCACAACCCCAGGAATCACCTACATTAAATATTCAGACGACACAATCATGGACACTACTGACACAGAAGGAATGCTGCAAAAAGAACTGGACTCTTTTCTCACTTTGGTGAACAGTGAACTGCCTGGACTTAAACATCTCCAAGACCAAAGAAATAGTCATAAACTTCAACCATGGCCCTTCTCCTTCCATCCCTGCACTCACTGTTAACAGCCAAATTGTTGAAAAGATTCACTCATACAAATATCTCGGTTGCATAATAGACGACAAACTCACATTCCAACACAATACTGAACACATTTTTGCAAAATGCCAACAACGCCTCTATTTTCTACATAAACTCCGCAAACTTCAGGTCCATCAAACCATCCTTGCTGCTTTCTATAGATGCTTTATCGAACCAATTCTTACATTCAGCATTTCTGCCGGGTTTGATCCACTCACAATTGCTCAGCGTAACATGCTCAATAAAATAATCAGGATAAGCGGTAAAATCATCGGTCAGGACCAGCAGTCACTTACCAACACATGCAACACTTCAGTTCTCAGCAAAGGCACACAGGTCTCCACAGACCCGTCACATGCTCTCCACTCCCATTACACCCGGTTACCATCAGGCCGGCGGTTCAGGGCCCTACCAGTGAGGACAAAAAGGGCTTCCTCCAGCTTCCTTCCCTCTTCAATCCGCCTGTTAAATATCATGCCCCAGCAAAAATGACTGTGACCAACACTATGGTAAATCTAGATTGAACTAGTAATCTTTTATTATCTTATTCCCTTTTAAATTCCTTTAAGTGTGTGTAGATGTGAGTAGTCTTTTTAATTGAGTGTATGTGTATGAGTGTTTTGATGCTGTTTTATGTGTTGTGCTGACGCTCTGACTGCAAATGAAGTTCCTAATAAAGTGAATTGAATGAATTGAATTGTTGCATCAGTATTAGGAGACACGGCACCCCCACACTCACTGATGGTAAACAGTAGTTATGTCCCTCCTTTTGTTTTGAAAGGAGAAGAACTGACAATCCTCACAGCCAGCTGGATTTGAAACATGTTTCGGTGTAACCTTCCTTCCAAAAGGACTCTTGTGAGATTTTCTCACTATTGGGCCATTCCCATCTGTACCGGGTCGGTCCGGGCCGGGTAGCGTAGGTTGTTTACATATCTGGGTGGCCTGGTATTTTTCCGGGCCAACCAAGGCTCATTCTCAGCCCTCTTCTCGAGGGGGTCTGCTTCAGGCCGACCAGGGCCAACACACCCACTGCTGACAGCAAATTCACACCTTCCATTAGAGCAAGCCTCTGATTGGTGGGTAGAATCAGCCCACATGGGCTTAAGGCAAGGATGTGTGGAATCAACCGGGCCAGGCTGGGGCCGACTGGGGCTACCCGGCCCGGGCCGACCCGGTACAGATGGGAATGGCCTATAACATTCTCACTATATTTGTACTTACTGCATCTTTAAGAATGACAATAATAATCTCTGAAGTTGCACTGACTTCCAACAATACCAGTAAATATTCTTAACTCTTTGTGCTGTATAATGAAACTTTATGCACACAAAATGTGTGTGTGTGTGTTTCTAACAAAACATTTAAGTTAGTTTCTGATCATGTTTATCTGATTTAAAAGCTGCCATGCTCATTGTGTCTCTGTCCAGTGTCCTCCTGTTCCCCCCGCTATCCAGCAGACTGCGGTTCCTGATTCACAGAACTGTTGAGGACATTCCGGATCTCACCACCTTCTCTGTGGGAGAGGGCAGTTTCCGTCGGGTAGTGGTTTGCCCTTGTGAGCTCAGGTGCTGTACAAACCCAAAGTCTGTGTGTGAATGTGATTAGCAGAATTTTAGCGTTTGTGAAGTGTTTTCTCCTTGCCATCCTGTAGGGTTGAGCCGGATGAAGGTGGCTACTCTGAAAGCTGCGACTGCTGTTGTGAAGAGCCGTTTAGCAGAAAGAAGACATCCAACAGCATCAAGCCCAAATGTCCAGCCTCATCACAAAACCGAGGCCCTAAAAGGCCAGACCAGCCCCTCTTCATTCCACGAGCTGCACGCAAGAGACTGTCTCAACAGAACTCCCAAGGCTCCACAACAGAAAATGACATGCAAAGTTGTAGCAGCAACTCTGTTAGTGCTCCATCAGACTCTTGTCCATGTACTGAAACGACACAATATACAAAGCTGTTGTGCTCTTCTGCCCAAGAATCAAACTCCCAAGTAGTGGAGAGTAAAACTTGTCTTCAGGAAAAACCACTAAAGCTGCACGAAAACGAGGCTCACGTTTGTAACCTGACTCAGTCCTTCACTGAGATGAACTTAGAAGACGACGAGAGTGCGGACCTAGCTTTTGGGTCAGAAAGTGTTGAGACACAAGACACGAGCACTGAAATGGAAGATGTAATCAAACAGGTAAGTTACAGGTAATTTTATCCATGCAGTCATTTTTTTTTCTTTTAAAGAGGTCCTTCACATATATTTTTAATATATTTGCAGTAGTCTATAGTGGGACCGAATGCCTTGTAAGTCGTACTCTGTGGAAAATAAAGCTCCGGTGCGCCTGTTTCAGCACTGAGAATTCAGCCAGAGGAGAAAGTAACTTCAGCCGACAGGATTTGGAGTCTTATTTCCTGATATTTTGACATCTCACCTCTGATTGGCCAAACAACTTAACCACTGACTGTTTGCTCTGCCAAGTTGATTTTATCTCCACAAATAACTCAAGCCAGAAGGAGCTCTGCTGTGTGGCGGATTTGCTAATGCTAACATTTAGCTTCTACTAGTCGGGACGTTCTGTTTCCTGAACGCTAAATCAGTAACAGCCTTCCCCGTCGCGAGTCAAGATGGGTAATTCCATAAATGTTAAACGACAGTGTGACGTAGACATGTCAGGCTTGTCTAATCCTAGAGTTTCTTCATCTATTTTCTGTCAGAAGCTAATGCAGGAGATGGGTGTAGGAGACTATTTTCATGTTAGCCTGCATGAAAAACTCAACTTTCAAAAATAAGTAAAAAATGGTTCCTCAACGAAGGACCTCTTTAATATTCATTTTAAACTGATTATTAAACATGAGTATTATCTCCTCACAGTGAAAAACTTTTATATTTGCTTTTCTTTCAGATTGAGGCACATCTTAAAGACCCACAAGCTGTCTCCATTAAGCTGGTTCAAAACGACTACTGTTTGTTTGAGAAAGTGTCGCTAAACTCCGATGACTTTCGCCATGTAATTGAAATCTACAACTTCCCATTTATTTTCACGACGGAAGACCTTCTTGAAGCTTTTGCAAAATACAGGTGAGTCTAGCGTTCAGTTCCCTAAAGAGTAAGTTAACCCCCCCAAGAGCCTTAACTCGCCCACACTTCCTGTTTGAAAATTGTGCCAGAAGGCGGCATTGCCTGGCAGACAGAGAGGACAGTGCTGTGCTGGCCTGCAATATTGTCCAAGTCATCCCTGATAGTGATGCTAGCTCCTTTTCCTCAGAGCAGTCATTTGAGGTAGAGGATTACGCTCCACCTTCCTCACCAGAGGACAGAGAAGAATGAGAGGAAGGTTTTTAGCAGGAAACGAGTAGCACTGAGCTGTATTTTTTGAACCAATGTCTCGTAAGTTGCCTGAGGCCACCAGTGCTGATCCGTAAACACTTGCTATTCCAACTCCAACTCACTACAGAGGTGTGGCCAAGACTCAGCTGTTTTTGTACCCCACAGCGGCAGTACAGCTACGTCGCATGGTACCAGCTAATGTCACATATCACCGCTTAGCCAAAAGCAAAATAGCATTTTTGAAAAATGCCTTTTAAACATATTTTTTCTTAGAAAAGCAATTGAAAGATTGTAAATGTTTCTCTGATCTCAGTGATGGTGGAATTAAGATCAACTGGGTGGACAACACCCACGCCCTGGGCGTTTTTTCCAGCGAGGCAGCAGGTGAGAAATTCACTGTAAACTAAGATTAGGAGATTTAAAGCTGAAAGTGGCTAAAATAGATGTTCTATGTTCAGCACTCCATGCTCTCACTATCTACCACCCACTGATAAAGACGCGAAAGCTTTCCGATGGGAGTACAAAAGCCAAAGCCAAAGCCATGAGACAGGCAGGTAGGAGTTCCTCACAGCCCAATCAATGTCACTTGGTAAAATCTTTAAGCTAATTGCATAGGTTACGTGCTTTTTTTTTGTCATTTTTGTTTTTTCCTAAAGAATTCATCCAGCCAGTGAAGGAACGTCCCAGGACAGACTGTGTTGTTGCCAAACGGATGGTGACCAGAGCTTTAGGCATACAGGGTCGTGGTGGGGTGCAGCGATACTGATAGCGTTGCTACAGGTGAGCAAACTAACATCGATTTATGTATCTAAAAAGTACTAAAAATGATATAAATGCAGCCAACGTTATAGCTATCGCGCCTGTTTAAGTTCATTAAGATGTCTGCTTTAGATGAAAGCAGCAGCTGCTGCAAGGGTAGGCCAGCTGAAGGAGGAAGTGCTTGTAAAGAAGACAGGGTAACATCAGTTGTATGAACCTGGTGTTAGTTTAAGGGGTCAGAGGTTATGTAGAAAGTAGTGTCTTATCTGGTTTAATGGCACAATAAAGCAAATTCCCTCTAACAGTTAGATTTTTTTTATGGCTAACCCTAATTAACACACAGTCTTTTAAACGTCTTGGACCTCACACTTAACATATGAGCAAATGGAAAAACTTAGTAATCAGGAAGAAATGTTATTTCTGTTTTTATATATTCAATCCTGTTCAAAACTAGAATTTTGTGTTTTTGTAACATGTAGCTTCTATTTAATTTAAAATGTCTATGTCTTAGAGGTACACTAAGTAACATTTTAAAAGGATTTTCTTGACCGTGTAGGTGCTAAAACGACCCTTTACAGGGTGAACAAATAGTCTGTCAGCTCTCCCCGCTCCTTGTGGGCAGATTAACGCATTTGCAACTTGAGCCTCTCCGAGTCGTTGACCTGAAGTCTCACAAAGTCTCACATCTTGTGAGAAGCAGTAACAATTTATGGCAATCCATGTTTAAACCTCAGAATAAACGAGCTAGAGATGACTGACGTTTATTGTATCTGGTTCATCATGGCAGAGCCTCAGAAGAAAGTAAGAAAACCTTTATCCGAGGAAGATAAAAAGAGAAAAAGAACTTCTGACCAAAATCTGGGTAAAACAAGAGTCAAAATCGCGAAAGCGTTTCTGTATCACAAGAGCTTTTTCTGTTATACAACAGTGATTTAAAATGGACACTAGCACGCCCAAACTGTCTAGGGTCCCTTAAAGTCAGGAGTGGGGAACCCTGGTCCTCGAGGGCCGGTATCCTGCTTGTCTTTGCTCCAACACTTCTGATTCAGTGGATGATTCACCTGTTCAGCAGCTCCTCAAGCTCTGCAGAAGCTTGTTAATCACCTGCTGATTGAAATCAGGTGTGATGATGCAGGGTTGAAACTAAAATATGCTGGATAGCGGCCCTTGATGGATCAGGGTTCCCCACCCCTGCTTTAAGTTATAAGAATTTTTTTGATTCGAGCTTTTTGGAAAAGGCAACGCAACACATTGGAAGTATCTGGTATGTGGGAATGTTCTAAGATGACGTGTATAAACAGAAGAAAAGAATAAGTTGCAGTGAATAGGTTTAAATTTGAGGCCATATCTCCCATCGCTAAAAATACTTTAATATTTAAGTGCTTTTTGTCAAAAAGACTCACAAACCCATTTCACACTGGAAGCATCAAGCGGCGCGGGACAGCAGCGTAATGTTTTACTTTTCAATGCGGTCCATTACACACCGAGAGAGCCGCAGAACAGCTTCTTCGCTGGACTCGCAAGATCACAAGATGCATCTAGACTTCAAAGGTCATGGTTTGTTTATGCAATCTGCCATCAACTCCTCCTTGAACCGTCACCTTATCGTGGTGGAGGAGTTTGAGTGCCCTAATGATCCTAGGAGCTATGTTGTCTGGGGAACTTTGTGCCCCTGGTAGGGTCTCCCATGACAAATTGGTCTTAGGTGAAGGGTGAGACAAAGAACGGTTCAGAGGATCTTTCATGGATGAACTATCAAGGAGTCGGAGTACCCGGCCCGGAGGGTTACCGGGGTCCCACCCTGGAGCCAGGACTGGGGTTGGGGCCCGTGAGCGAGCGCCTGGTGGCCGGGCTTTCACCCATGGGGCCCGGCCGTGCCCAGCCCGAACCGGATACATGGGCTCATCCAACTGTGGACCCACCACCCGCAGGAGGAACATGAAGGGTCCGGTGCAGTGTGGATCGGGTGGTAGACCGAGGTGGGAGCCTTGGCGGTCCGATCCCCGGGCAAGGAAACTGGTTTTTGGGACATGGAACGTCACCTCGCTGGTGGGGAAGGAGCAGGAGCTTGTGGCAGAGGTTGAGCGGTACAGGCTAGATATAGTTGGACTCACCTCAATGCATAGCATTGGCTCTGGAACCCAAGTCCTTGAGAGGGGTTGGATACTCTCCTTTGCTGGAGTTGCTCCGGGTGAGAGGCGGAGGGCTGGGATTGGCTTTTTGTTAGCCCCAAGACTCTCTGCCTGTGTGTTGGGGTTTACCCCGGGGGACGAGAGGGTAGCTTCCCTGCGCCTTTGGGCCGGGGAACGGGTCCTGACTGTTGTTTGTGCTTATGGGCCAAATATCAGTTCAGAGTACCCACCCTTTTTGGAGTCCCTGGGACGAATGCTAGATAGTGCTCCATCAGGGGACTTCATTGTCCTGCTTGGGGACTTCAATGCTCACGTGGGCAATGACGGTATGACCTGGAGGGGTGTGATTGGGAGGAACGGCCCGCCTGATCTGAACTCGAGTGGTGTTTTGTTATTGGACTTCTGTGCAAGCCGCAGTTTGGCCATAACGAACACCATGTTCGAACATAAGGATGCCCATCGGTACACTTGGTACCAGGGCAGCCTAGGTCGCAGGTCGATGATAGACTTTGTAGTTGTATCATCTGACTTGCGACTGTATGTTCTGGACACCCGAGTGACGAGAGGAGGGGAGCTGTCAACTGATCACCACCTGGTGGTGAGTTGGATCAGATGACAGGGGAAGATGCCGCGTAGACCTGGCAGACCCAAACGCATAGTGAAGGTCTGCTGGGAACGCCTGGCAGAAGAAGCTGTTAAGACGGTCTTCAACTCCCACCTCCGGCAGAGCTTTGACTGCGTCCCGAGAGCAGTGGGGGACATAATGGTGTGAAAATCAATTTAAGATACTTAAATTAATAGCAAAAGTTTATTTATTAAACAGAAGATTCAGTAAGATTCTTTTCATTCGATAAACTGAAAATGCAACCCTTTTCTGTGTTTCGTTTCAATAATGAGGCAAGTTTAAAAATGAAGAAATTTATTACTAACAATTTTTAAACTGAAAATTTGAAGCGACAGTTAGAAAAATGACAATTCATGGATGGCAATTTTAATGACAATTCTCAACAGCTTTGATATTAAACTTGTTTAAAAGCAAACCTGTGTTGGATGGAAAATTAATTTGAGAATGGTGAGTTTTGGACGCGTGAATGCAGTTCTCAGGTTTCTTTCAGAGAGAATGAAACGTGTTCTGGGTGAAAATGATGGTTTGCAGATAACGGAGTTATTTTTAGAGAAAACAGCATCAAACGTCATCTGTCGTGTTCTACTAACCCAAACAGCTGACCCTCTTGTGGATCCGGAGGTTGGAGGATGGGTTCATCCAAGATGACACTCGGGGGCTGGCAGGGAAGACGCGAGTGTCCGATACTCTGGTCCAGAGTGGTAGCCGGGTACACGGTTGTACGAAGCATTTGGCAGATGCACGTTACGTCTTAACTTAACTTCAGAAATCAAATGACTCTGGGAGAGTCTCCGTTAGTTGGTTTGTTTACGGTTCGTTCGTTCTTTAGCCATTCTTGTCGGCGTGACAGAACAGCTTGGCAGAGGTTTCAGGGTGGCCGTCCCTGACTCCTCAGGATGATGTCTTGTTCAGAACTGGACGTGAAATCTGTGATGGTTAGTTTTTACCAAACTCTCTCAGAACACTCCCCCTCTCTCCGGAAGAAAGCTTGGTCATGCGTCAAAAACATGTGATGCAGTTATTTATCAACAGGGTGAAGGTCTTCTTTGCTGAACACATCTTTAATCGTTATAATAATTATCATTATAATACCCAAAGCATAATAATCCATTTCATATAATTAAAATACCTTTATTTCTGAACCAAGTGATCATGTTGTAATGATTATTTAAACAGTAATAAAATCATAAGTTTTATTAATTATTATTTAATTATTATCATCGTGGCTTGAAGTGTCTTTCTTCTGGGACGGAACAACGTATGATGTTATGATCTTGGCTAGACATCGTGGCTCCTTGGATTTAATCTGTGGATTCAAAGGACTGTTTGACCCAGCTTGACCTAGCTGGGCAAATGTGACCTTTGGCACAAATCAGAGAACCTTCATGCCGTTACAACTCCGAGTGGGCCTTGTTCCACTCTGCGATTGTTGAGGCGGCTGTTGCTAGCTGTGGTCGCAAGGTGGCCGGTGCCAGTCGTGGTGACAACCCCCGTACCCGCTGGCGGACACCAGAGGTTTGGGGAGCCGTCAGGCTGAAGGAGGCCTACAGGGCGTGGCTGGTCTGTGGGTCTCCGGAGGCAGCAGACAGGTACCGGATAGCCAAGCGGGGTGCAGCAGTGGCAGTTGCCGAGGCAAAATCTCGGGTGTGGGAGGAGTTTGGTGAGGCCATGGAGAAAGACTATCGATCGGCTCCAAAGAGGTTCTGGCAAACTATCCGGCGCCTCAGGAGAGGCAGGCAGCAACTCGCTCACACTGTTAACAGTGGGGATGGGGAGCTGCTGATGTCAACTGGGGCTATAGTCGGACAGTGGAAGGAATAATTTAAGGAGCTCCTCAATCCCACCTATGCACATTCCGAGGAGGAACCAGAGCCGGGAGACCTGGGGATGGACTGTCCAATCTCGGGGGCAGAAGTTGCTGAGGTAGTCAAACAACTACACAGCAGCGGAGCACTGGGGGCGGATGCGATTCATCCTGGGTATCTCAAGGCTATGGATGTTGTAGGGCTGTTGTGGTTGACACGTCTCTGCAACATTGCATGGTCATCGGGGGCAGTTCCTGTGGAGTGGCAGACCGGGGTGGTGGTCCCTATCTTTAAGAAGGGTGACCTGAGGGTGTGTTCCAACTATACGGGGATCACACTCCTCAGCCTCCCTGGAAAGGTCTACTCCAAGGTACTGGAGAGGAGGGTCCGATCGATAGTTGAATCTCAGATTTAGGAGGAGCAATGTGGTTTTCGTCCTGGCCGTGGAACTGTGGACCAGCTCTATACCCTTGGAAGGGTGATGGAGGGGGCATGGGAGTTTGCCCAACCACCAATCCACATGTGTTTTGTGGATTTGGAGAATGCTTATGACCGTGTCCCCAGGGGCACCCTGTGGGGGACGCTCCAGGAGTATGGGGTGAGTGGCTTTCTGTTAAGGGCCATTCAGTCCCTTTACCAGAGGAGCGTGAGTTTGGTCCGCATAGCCGGTAGTAAGTCGGACCTGTTCCCGGTGAGGGTTGGACTCCGCCAGGGCTGCCCTTTGTCACCGGTTCTGTTCATAACCTTTATGGACAGAATTTCTAGGCGTAGCCATGGTGTGGAGTGTGTCGAGTTTGGTGGCAGGAGAATCTCGTCTCTGCTTTTTGCGGATGATGTGGTCCTCCTAGCTTCATCCAGCTCTGACCTTCAGCTCTTGCAGGGTAGGTTTGCGGCCGAGTGGGAAGTGGCTGGGATGAGGATCAGCACCTCCAAATCTGAGACCATGGTTCTCGACCGGAAAAGGGTGGCTTGCCAACTCCGGGTCAGGAGAGAGGTCCTACCTCAAGTGGAGGAGTTTAAGTATCTTGGGGTCTTGTTCACGAGTGAGGGTAGGAGGGATTGGGAGATCGACAGGCGGATTGGTTCGGTGTCTGCAGTGATGCGGACGCTGAGCCGATCTGTCGTGGTGAAGAGGGAGCCAAGCTAGAAAGCCAGGCTCTCGATTTACCGGTCGATCTACATCCCAATCCTCACCTATGGTCATGAGCTTTGGGTAATGACCGAAAGAACGAGATTGCGGATACAAGCGGCCAAAATGAGTTTCCTCCGTAGGGTGGCCGGGCTCAGCCTTAGAGATAGGGTGAGGAGCTTGGACATTCGGGAGGTACTCGGGAGTAGAACCGCTGCTCCTCCGGCTCGAAAGGAGTCAGTTGAGGTGGTTTGGGTATCTGGTCAGGATGCCTCCTGGACGTCTCCCTGGGGAGGTGTTTCGGGCATGCCCTGCTGGCAGGAGGCCCCCGGGTCGACTCAGGACACGTTGGAGAGGTTACATCTCCAATCTGGTCCGGGAACGCCTTGGGGTCCTGCCGGAGGAGCTGGTGGAGGTGGCTGGGGAGAGGATGGTCTGGAGCTCCCTAGTTGGGATGCTGCTCCCGCGACCCGGACCCGGATAAGTGGAGGAAGACGACGACGACGACAAATCCGCCATCAAACCAAATGGAAGGAAATTGTTTGATATCACTGTTTGATGTTGACAACACACCGCTGCACTTCTGGAACGATGCTGTGAGTAAATAAGCCGTTGGGTCACACATAAGCTACATATATAAGAAACTGCATTGCTTCAGTAATTTTATTTTGAAAATTACTGGGGATTTTACACTTAAACCGTGTGTGATTTCCTGCCTGGTCCTATGTTAACTGCAGAAATTGTCATCTCCCAGAAGTGGCTTGTGGCTAAAATAGAAGCCAATCCTATCTTTAGCGGCGCAGTGCAGGCGTGCCGCTTCTGGGACGCGCCTGAAAATGGCTGCGTCGCAGTTGGTTTGAAATACGCCCATAGACTATAATGGATTCCATTTGAAGCAGCGACGTGCCGCTGATGCTTTCAGTGTGAAAAGGGTTAGAGGTGCACATAAAAGCAGTTTCATGGTAACGAAGCAAAGAAACTGTCTGCTTTGACTGTATTTTATTTAAAAATGTATTGATTTTACACATTCACCCTGGCATTCAGCATTAAAGCAGCTTCAGCTGCTACATTCAAACTCATTTACAGAACCATAAAGAGGCCATTTCACATACATGTGTGGCTGTTACAGTACTCCACAATGTAACTAGAGTCCCTGATGGTAATAATTTAACAAAACTTAGACGAGAAAGAAGCAGATGGAATACACGGATCATGACGCATGTCAAAAACAAGAAACTAAAACAATAAATAGAACATTTTAAAATGTTGGGCAACACAAAAAAAGTACAATTTTCTGAAAAGTCTTCACAGATGGTCAAACGCTGCAGGAGCCCGATCCAAATAGCTGTTAGCTCTTAAGAGGCTGAACCAGAAAATGTAAATCTCACTTTCAGTCACTTAACATGTAAAAGAGAACACATGTTGTCATTATTATTGCAGCTATTATATTAATCATGTTCTGAGGTCCTTTTCAGTTTCAGTACACAGCGTTAGGAATGTCCAGGCGTCTGTAACATCTGAAAGACATTAGGAAGGCCTGAACGGTCCAATTTGAGGGAAATTTGATTTACACGGCTGCTTTTCTTGTCAGCTGCTTCAGGGCAAAACATTCAGTGCAAATTTCTGACCAGTTGTAGCACCAAATATAACAGAAAATTGTTTAAATCCATCCAGAGTCAGCATCCATTAAGAAATGTCGGATTTAGTTTTATTTGATTCAGTCTCCGTCCGTTTCCAACTCTAAGTAAAGGCACCTATTGCTTAATAACTTATTTGGCTACAGTTCCTGTTACGATTCGAAGCACCAAGTCAAATCCAGAAAGGCCAAAAAATAAAATTAAAAACAAACAAATACAGTTGAAATTGGTAAATAGGTCTACTAAGCAAGCAGTTCGTTCTCCATTTGAGCTTTCTCATTCAACTGTTCATTGTACAAGTTGAGCTGTGGGCTCAAAAATAATTCAGCTTTACTCCAAGGAAGCAAAAGTCACACAGCCCCCTCTAGTGGTTGTCAAATATGTGCTTCCCTGATGTCCTCCCTCTGTTCTCATGTCGGAGTCTACCTGTGTGAAAGCTGGTTGGTCAGAAGTCCGGGAAATGTCTCATCTACGTCCGAACTTAATGTTCCACCTGTGGAGTGAAGGAGAAAGATGAGATCAACCGAGCAGAGGCGGATAAGAGCGTAGCTACTTGTTTCTTCTGAGGGAAGTCAATCATGTTAATTACACTTTTCCTCTTGGTTTTAACAGCTGTGTCTATCAGATGACCTCTGACCCTCTGAAGAGCCTCAGAGGCAGCAGACAAAAATGTTCAGTGGGCATGAAGAGACTAAAAGATGTCACAAATTCTCTGACGCTGATTCCCCCCCCCCCCCCCATCTATATGGTTCCTTTTCTTCGCTGTTGACATCACTATAGTAAAGTAAACATGACTGTTGATGAAATGTTCAAGAGATGATTTCAGTAGAAATCCAAAACAAAACAGCTCTTTAGGATTCGATTGCATGTTGATGTCCTGATTACATAGGACTTTTTGCACCTTTGTACAGTAAATGCTTTTATTCTCAGGTTTTGAAATAAATTGTATTTATCTGTCTAATGTTTTAAAACAAAATGTAAGTTTTTCTATAAACAAAGTTAGTTTTTTCAGTTCACCTTATAGAAGCTCTTTTTGTTTGTTATATTTGTTTGTTAGTTCAGGTTTTGGAAACCTCAAATGTTTCTAATCCGTACTGGACTGTTAATTCCATCAGATGTTATCCCTGATGTGGCTCTTGTGTGGAAAGAATGCTCTGAAAAATGTACTGTAGAAATTTTTTTTTGTTTTTAATAAACTTTTGATTCTATTTACCGACAACCAATGCACTTTTTATGTAGGGTAAACTAAACCATCTAATAATTCAATATGGGGAAGAAGAGTTTTTCCTGTGATGATAGATGCTGCATTGTAGTGTGGGGAAATATGAACGTTACATCAAAAAAGCAGTGTGCTACTTCTAATGGGCCATTCCCATCTGTACCGGGTCAGCCCGGGCCGGCTAGAGTAGGTTGTTTACATATCTGGGTGGCCTGGTATTTTTCCGGGCCAACCAAGGCTCATTCTCAGCCCTCTTCTCGAGGGGGTCTGCTTCAGGCCGACCAGGGCCAACACACCCACTGCTGACAGCAAATTCACACCTTCCATTAGAGCAAGCCTCTGATTGGTGGGTAGAATCAGCCCACATGGGCTTAAGACAAGGATGTGTGGAATCAACCGGGCCAGGCTGGGGCCGACTGGGGCTACCCGGCCCGGGCCGACCCGGTACAGATGGGAATGGCCCATTTGTGTTCTGACTGGATTGATGAAATAATGTGTGGATATGCGCTTACTGAAGTTTTATCAAATCAAACAATTTCATCCTTGTTACAGAAGAAAATGGGTTCTTAAGGCATTAGTCTCACCTATATGACAGTTGTATGTCCATATCCGATGTCCATCATACCGAGAACGGCACTTCATTACGTTGTTGGTGTAATCAGACTCTGCAACCTCATAGTTTGGGTTTATCACAACCTGGAGGAAGAAACATCATTGGAGGTCTAAATTTATTTTGCAACCAAGGAAAAGTCTGTCTGTCACTATAAGCTCAGTATCCTGTGAGCTCCGTGTGTTGAGAAGCGTTTAGTCTATAAGATGGCTGTGGCTGGGAATGAGACAGACTTTTCCACCAGAGGAAGTATAATTAGGAAAAGGACTAAACCAAGAGACCAGATGTGGTACCTGTAAGATGTAATCGCCAGGCTTTACGTCTGTGATGTCTATCCACTGACAGTCTATGTCATGTCTGTAGGTGTCCCAGCAGCCCACGGTAATGCCCTGAGAGCCAAAGTTTGCACACTCGTATCTCTTCTGAATACCTGAGATCAGAGCAAATTACAGACATTGAATGTTATTTCCAGTTTATAGCAGAAGAAAACAAACAAACATAGCCGACTGATCGTGGAGCATGTTTGAAGAAGAGCTTGTTTATGTCATATTTCTGAGGGCAAAATAATTTTCTCTTCTACCTCAGAACGTTATATTTCAGAATGCACAATAAATCAAATCGTAAGGTAGCGCGACTCGTGTTGCGAATGACCGCAGTCACCAATTCTTGTCATGTGTCTTACCCACGTATGTCTGATCTTTGAATTGTGTGTGCTGAAACTCAGTTTCGTTTCTCCGTATGTCTTGCACATGTGGTAGAAATGACAATAAATGACTTTGACTTGACTTGACTAAATCGGCATCAACATCGGAATCGGACGAGGTTAGCCATTTTTAATAAGTAACATTGGGCTGATATAAACCGATATCTATTTCCATCGTGTTGCTGTTCGCGTGGGTGCTTCAGGAAAGGGAGTGGCTTGGACATGTAGTTTTGTTTGGTTATGTGACGGTGACAAGCGGCGTAATGTAATGGGTGTTTTCGCCAGAACCTCAACAGTGTGTTCCTGCTGGAGGCCTTTCAGACGCAATACGGCTGCAGTTGGTAAAGCGAGATCACAAAATCACAGGAGATTTTGCAAGCTCACGCGTGATTTTGCCAATTCACTCAATAACAAGCAAGGAGAAAGATAGCAGTGTGTATCCAAAAGGTCTGGATTTCTTTTTTTTAATCACAATGAAGGTGTCACAGGTAAGTGTTTTTATGGTTGAGCAATCAGAAATCTGCTTGGGTATTTTATTTAGAAATTAGCTGCAAGCATTACACTTCTCCAATCTTTTGTCTGGGCCATTCTGATCTCAGCAGCTTGACCTATTTTGCAAGTAAAAGGTTGACCAGAAGTGTAGATGTATGCTTTGGGGAACGCGTACAAGAAGCACTGCTCTGCGCCCAGTGGAAACCCACCCACTGGCATTAATAGAAGCTATTAGCTTATTAAACCTCACAGATGTTATACAATGACATATAATGGAAAGCCAGGGTAAAAGTGATGTGATTGTGTGTGTTTATTTATATAATATAATTACCTAAATAATTTATGTAACTTTAGTAAAAATAGGTTGTCAGCCATAACAGCAGCATTAACCAGGTTTTGATATTGCCACACAATTTTTCTCATTCATAATAAAACAGGATGAGTAGTGTTCGTCTTACCTTCATCACAATAGGTGTCTTCCAGACAGAAGCTGGCTTTGTGTCCCTCTGCTACCTTTGTTCCATTCAGACTCAGCAGGTCATAGTAGGTGAAAACTTCCATACTGTGGTAATGCCTGGATTATACAGAGAAGGGAGTGCTTAAATGTACAACAAATATCCATCAAAACGTGCCTGGTGGACGCTTGACCAGATTTTAACAGCAGGATCTCTGGGAGAAAACCTCATTTCTTGTGGGATATCTAGGAATAGAATACCTGTGGCATTCGTGCCAGACCCAGGAGTGAGGCGACGCCCGTGGCCTGAAGTCTGACAGGCCGTTGTTATGGATCTGAGAGGAGAAGCGGAGGAGGCGACGGTAGGAGGTGGGGTCTGCGTTGTCACTGGTGGTGGACAGACAGCGCTCCTCTTGGGCACACTGCAGTGCATACAAAGGCCTGTCCTCCAGGTATGTGGTCTGCTCCACAACCTGAGCACTCAGGACCAGATCTGGAGCCGCTGTGGGGGCCAGGAACAACTTGTGTCACAGAAACTCAAATTTACTGCTCTGACGAAACACTAACTACAAGTTTTATGAAGTTGAACAGCATAAAAGTATTTAATACATATTTTTCATTATCAAATTTATTTTCCCTCTTCACAAACGGAGGAGTCAAAAGAAAAACACATCATAGTGACTACTTGATCTATGACTTTTAACAGATATCAGGTTTGAACTTAGTTAATGAGTTTTGCTGAAAGAAAACGCTGTGGTAAAGACTTTATGTTTCCTTACTCAGAGTGCAGGAAACTCCAGCAGCAAAGCGGCCGCCTCCGTTAGGACAAATCACATGTTTGCCGTGATGCAGACACTGATCCAGAGTCATCTCAGTTCCAGAACATCTTACTCCACTCATCACCACAGCCTGAGAAGATGAATCTCCCTGCCAATACCACGTTTCCTGGTTCATCAAAAACAACAGAAACCAGAAAAAAGTTAGCAACAATATTTTTTTTAAATCTGCTGCTGTTGTAAATTTGGCTAGCTTGGCTGTTCAGCAGTAGCAGCAAAATCCACCAGTAAGTTTTCTAAAACTGAAGCTCACAATGACTCATCACAATAACCAAGATGAACTACTATAAGGATCTGTCTCACATATACAAAACATCCTGATGATCTCCCAAGACTTTTAGGATAGTATTCTGTGGACCGACGAGACAAAATTTTAACTTTTTGAAAGGCATATTTCCAGTTTCATATGTTATTTGAAATTGTTGATTTTCCATAGTTGATTGCAAATTGATGTGTAATTGAGATGAATCTATAATTCAATTTTATGTTGCAATGACAATAAAAGCAATTCTACTCTAAGGAGTTAAACAAGCTCAGAATTCCAGGAAAAGGAACATCAGTATCAGTCAAACACAGTGGTGGTAGTGTGATGGTCTGGGACAGCTTTGCTATATAGCTTGCTGTGTGTGTGTGTGTATAATATATATGTATACGGATATACACACAAAATCTTGGAAGGATTTGTTTAAGTGAGACCTTCATTGCTAGCAAACAAACGAACACCACAAGTTTATGTGTGTGTGTTCAATTCTATAAGTTCAATGGCTCCAGACATTTCATGCCAGTTATCCCGCAATGGAAATCCACACACACGCACACACACACACACAGGTTCTCAGCTGTCCCTCCAGTGCTGACTCAGCCCCATCATCCACTTTTGCGAGCTAAAGGGAAATCTCATGTGAGGGAAAACTCAGACTTTCCGTTGTCCTCCGAGGAAGATGCATGTAAATGAAGGTGAACAGGGAGGCTGATGGTGGGCAGAGGAGACAGAAAGACGTACAGATATGTAGTTTAGGCTTGCTGTCATTTGTTCCATCTGGTGGTTGGTTTGCCTGCAGAATCATTTATGAGTAAGACAGGAAAGAGTCTCCAGAGGGGCAGAGGAGGTCTGAGCATGTAACCACGCATGTAAAAAATCTCTTATGTAATGACAACTTGCTGGACGTTGTGGCAAAGGTAAGCGTGTGCTTTTTCATGGCAGCTTGGCCTGAAGCTTAGACTTGGCACTAAAAAGGCCCCCCTTCAGTTAGATGAATAGCCTTCACCAGATCCAGTCCAAGTTCCACTAATAACCCCCCCCCCGCAGCTGACACACCTCTCCATGATTCACACATACTTTCCAGACGTACGTCATCTCTCTAACCCTAAATTCCACACACCTTAAAATAGCATTTATGTATGTATAGATACACACACACCTCATAACACAAGGGGAGCCCTACTCAGACGTAAACATGTCAGCAGTGTGACGCTGGTCCAGTTGTCCCATGTGGTTTACTGATGGAGGGTCCACTACACTTCAAACACAGAGCCATCCTTTTACCAAGAGGTCCTGCTGGGAGCTTTACTTCCACTAATGGGATGTGTCTACTGAGGGTCTGGTTTTGATGTTTCTAACCAAATCACGTCTTTATTTTGCCCTCAAGGATAAATAAAGTAGTTAGAGATGGAGAGTTAATGGGATCCACTGCCATGTACACTCACCAAGGGGTTTAAACTGGGAAGTACCATCAGGCCGAAGTAATCTTATCTGTTAATCTTCACATCCTCTCCTGCTCTTTCTATCTTCTGTTAAAAAATTAATTCAAGTAAATCTGTTCTTTATAGACACACAAGCATTTTTTTGCATTGTTTCTTGCAGACCTACAGTTTATTATTATTTTTACGATTTTAAAGTGTTTATCTCACACTCTAGTGATACTTTGGTGCTTGCTCTTGATTCTTTTGTGCTTAAAGTTGTCTTGCACGTTCCCTCACCTAGAGGACTTCCTGAGTACAAGTAACCTGGAGTCATTAGTAAATGCAGACATTACCTGGAAAGCGTGGTTGGCGAAACCCAGTCCCAGCTGTCTGCAGACCACCATGGCCTCCATGGTTCCCCAGCTATCGCTGCACACCGTGCCCCACACCAGAGAGCCGTTCCTCTCTGCCAGGACCTCCACACGACCCTCACTGGGGTTTCGGCCACCACTTAACCGCAGCTGAGGACAAGGGGGACCCACATTTGTCTCCTCCAGTGTTCCAAGTTTATTTGTTTTGGTTCTATACAGCAGATGGAATTACTCACTCGAGTGTTGAAGCCCATTGCTGGAACATTACACTTGACAGCAGCATCTTCCTCGTGGCTGCAGCCCACTGAGTCACGGTTAAAGTGACATTCAGTCAGAGACTTCTCAAATCCAGAGCATTCCACCTCGTTCATGTGGACCGACCCGATTCCTGCAGGAGCACAACGGAAGGAAAGTTATATGATGTTTTGGAGAAAAAAGCTAGTTCTGCCTCCTGTTTTCAGCTGCTTGAAGAGTTTTGATAGAACAACAAGTTTTTCCAGAGGCAGATGAAAACTTCTGCATTACACTGCAAAGGGAACAAGCGGTCAGCTATGACAAATGAAAATGATCCTTAGAGGCTCATTAAAATATCTAAATGTTTTAGAGTTTCCATAATAGTATGCACGAGTACCCCTCCAGATGTTCTTCTGTTTGTTTTAAGACTGGTCCGAGCTGTTTTTGACCTCAACACTCGATTTTCAGATGATCATAATGTTATGACTGATTGGTGCATGTGACAGAAACAGGGATGGAGTTTACTCACATTCTTATCCGCTGGCTTTTGAACACAAACACAATAAGCTCTTCCAAAACTGTGTGTGGTGTAATTTTTAGATCCAGTGGGTAGGTCATGAAGAAACCCACGCTGCCTCCTTCACTCTCCAACAACAAGAAAAAAAATCCTCTCCTGAAACCCATAAAGGTTGTTTTTCTGTTTTGGAACATTTTGTACAATTTTCTGTCTTGCTCTGAGATTTGGGCGGAGGCAAACGAAAAGACTACTTTTCCAATTAGCATATGAATTTTCCAAAGCTGTTGTAGATTTCATTTCACAGAATCAGGTTTTGGCTAAGTGGATAAACATGAATGTGCTACTCCATACATTCCCTGATGGCTTTTGTGTGCCGACTGAAGGTCTAGGGCGACTGGAACTAGACAAAAACAGGTGGTACCACACAGGCCAAAGATAAGGTGGAGACGCAGATCCACAGCCAGCACCTTTCATTTGCACAGCTGGACACAGGTTGATTAAAATGTGAAAAAGCATCAAAGTGTTGAACATCTGCACCTATTTAAAGGTCTTCTGCTTGCACATCATAAAGTACTTTATCATGAAAAGTGTGGATTACACTCTTCATGCTCTGATTATATTGGGATCAACTTTGGCGTTCGGTGTCTGCTCAAGGACCAACAATGGGAGGTGTGGCGCACCAGAGTAAAATCCTTAAAGGTCAAGTTCACTTATTTTTTCAACATATCTGCAGTGGTCTCTAATATAAATGAATGCCTAATGAGTCAATCTCTGTGGAGGAAAAAAAGCGCTGGTGCTCTTGTCTCAGGAAGTAAGCCAAAGAAGAGGGGAGCAGAAGACTGCAGGTTTTGGATTTTTTTTCCTGATATTTGGATATCTTGACTCTGACGGATAACAGCAACATGACTCTACCACTGACTCTCTTTGCTCTGCAAAATTGATGTTTTATCTCCATAAATAACACAAGCCTGGCGGAGTTCTGTCATGTTGTGGAGTTGCTAATGCTAATGGTTAGCTTCTACTAGCTGAGACACTACTTCCTCTAAGACGCCAAATCAATCACAGCCTTCCCCATCACAAGCTAAGATGTGTGAGTCAATGAATGCTAACTTTCTATGTGACAAAGGATTAACCGGCTTTTCAAGTCAGAGTGTTTCCCTGTCTGTTCTCTATTGTAGAGGCCTTTTAAGGTCAAAAGGTCATCAGTCACATAGATCGTTAGAATAGAATAGAATTCGATCAGTAACTCTAGAGTTAAGGTTTTCTGTCTCACAGCTAACCTGTAAAAATATTCATGTGTGATTCTTCTCTAATGGTCAACTGAACCCTACGCTATGGGCAGGTAATGCAGGAAATAGGGGTAGAATACTAGTTTCATGTTTAGCCTGCATGTTAGACTCAAAGTGAATGATCATATTTAAAATAAAACAAAACAACAACAAAAACAACAAAATGGTTTCTCAGAGATCTTGGTATTTAAAGCCTTGTGGGTGTGTGTAGTGATCATGGACACCTACTCAAGTAACGGACAGAATCTGTTTTCGTATTCATGACCTGTGGCATCATTTATAAAGCTCTAAATAAACTGGACAATTTTTAAAATGACTATTATGTTTAACTGCTTTTATTTGTACCTTGACCCATTTTGGCACCAGACAGGGCCTCTTTGGCACTGCCAAATCCCAGCTCTCGACACACCACCGTCGCTGCTCTGATGTTCCACTTGTCGTCACAAACAGTGCCCCACTCTCCGTTCTTCAGCACCTCCACTCGCCCCTCACCTATCAAAGCTCCACCTCGAAGACGAACCAAAGGTTGCTGCAGAAACAAAAGAAACTTTAAATACCCATCCATCCATCCATCCATCCATCCATCCATCCATCCATCCATCTATTCGTCTGTCTGTCCGTCCATCCGTCTGTCTGTCTGTCTAGATAGGTCGCTGGGGCAGCAGCCTAAGCAGAGAGGCCCAGATTTCCCTCCCCTAGCCACTTGGGCCAGCTCCTTCGAGGTAATGCCAAGACATTCCCTAGCCAGTCAGAAAACATAGTCCCTCCGTCATGTCCTGGGTCTTCCTTAGCTCTGTTAACGGTTGGACGTGCCCAGAAATCCTCACCAGGGAGGCGCCCAGGAGGCATCCTAACCAGATGCCCGAGCCACCTCAACTGGCTCCTCTCGATGTAAGGAGCAGCAGATCTACTCCGAGCCCAAACTGGTTAACTGGGCTTCTCACCCTATCTCAAAAGCCACTTACACACTAGCATTGGCTCCACTCCACTCTACTCCGCTCCACCCTGTCCGCCCGCCCTAGCCTGGCCGCGTTTGTTCCACACCGCCTTAGTAATGCGGACGTGATTGAGCACATAGGTGGCCTGTGATGCCATGAGTGCATCTCCGAGCACGTGGGTGGGGCAAAAGAGCTTGAAGAAGTCTGCGGTGTCTCCATTATTAAACAAAAGCGGCCTGATCGGTCTTGCTTTTGGAGACTCTCTGACTCTGATATTGCATCCTGCTTTGCTGTGTCAGGCAGGTGTGTGTGTGTGTGTGTGTGTGTATCTGTCCTCTCAGCAGTAAGAGACAGAGAAAAATGCTTCAGTCGAGGCTTATTAACTCCACAGCATCCAGAATGATAATGAATCGCGCATGTGGGAAGCTCCAGCGGGCTGATTCTATCTGCCAGTTGGAGGCTCCCCCTAATCGTAGGTGTGCCTTTGAGCCGGCCAATCAATCAGCAATGAGCATGTTGGACCAGTTCAGCTCCAGGCAGACCGCCTCAGGAAGAGGGCTGAAAAGATGTCCGGTTGCGCGTGGGATAATCCAAGGCTACTTATATGAGAACACTCCAAACCCGGTCCAGGCGGAGTGGAGCCGATGTGTAAGTGCCAAAATGGCCACCCCAGAGATGCTGCGGAGAAAACTAATTTCGGCCACATGAATCTACTATGTCTTTCATTACCCACGGCTCATGGCCACTTGAGGGTTGAAACGTAGATCAATCGGTAATTGAGAGCTTCGCGTTTTGGCTTAGCTCTCCCTTCACCACATCAGACTGGTACAGCTGCACTGGTCTACTTGAAATATGTCTGGTTTTATGGCCTGTATTTATATGGAGCCTTCTATGGTTCTAACCCCCCCACCACCACAACCACCAAGGTGCTTTACAACACAACTGGTCATTCACCAACTCACACATGTTCACACCCTGGTGGTGATGAGCTACATTGTAGCCACAGCTATCCTTGGGCGCACTGACAGAAGCGAGGTGGCCATACACTGGGACCACCAGTCCATTCCGCTGAACTTTTAGACTATAATCAGACTCACCTCTACTCTGTAGGCCTTTCTGAAGCCAATGCTGACGCTTGGGGCAAACCCCCGTCCGGGCATACAGCTGACCACAGTGGGCATGCCCTTTCTACACGTGTTGTTGCCCCTCAGCTCGATCTCTCGTCCCAGTTTGCAGTCGGAAAGGTCGGCCTCATTGCCGGTGCAGTTAACAGAGAAACCCCAGTAGTTCTTCTTACGGCGCTTGGCCAGCAACCTGAGGAGAAACAAAGAAAGTGTTGGGGAGTGTTGCTGTAGTAGCACCGCTTTTATGTAAAGAAGTGTTTGAAGAATCTCAAACATTCTTTATGATATACTACCAAAATAATAAAGAGCTGTTGTATAGGTTGTGGGAAACGTTCCTACTGAGTTGTATCCAACCATGCATATCCAGCCCATGCTGTAAAGAACAATGGAAGTATTCTGAGGAGAATTCCTTAACACTGGCTGGACTTCATACTTGAATGAAAAACATCAACTAGGGCCAGAGAAAAAGCCAAAAGAGGACTTTGAAGTAGGTTTGAGTCTTGAGAGACACTGGGTGGTAAAAATTGCATAGCCTTTAGATTTACGGGTCTGATGCTGTAAACGTGGAGTCCGGTTTACTTTGAGTTAAAGGTGAAAAGTTAATGTTAGATTTAGATAATTTTAATGAATACATGTGGTTTATTGTCCATAAACAAAAACTAATGTCTAATATCTAAATGTGATACTGCACCTCTGCAAAACGGCAGCATGATTTAAAATACACGATGTCCTTTAATTTATTCAACATTTTAGGAAATTAAATTACACACATATGATCATTCATACTCCAAACAGTCTATCCACCTTCTGTAATTAGTATGACTGTCATTTGCTAATGAAACTGCTGATGGCATGGATAGATAACCTGGAGTTTTTCTGGGTTTTCTGGTTCAGGAACCTTAGCGAGAAGTCAGTTAAGCCCCTAAAGCTGTGTCTGTAGAATGGACTTTCCTCTCACAGATCCCAGCAGGTTGATATCTGACTTTTTTTTTTCCAGATATCTCTGAATCTTTTGCCTGAGGCCCACAGCTGTCCAGGTGGCTTATGTAATTTATTGTCTTGCTTTAATCTTACACTGAAGAAATTCCTGCCAAGGCTAAAATATTAATAAAACAGGTACAGACCTGGCAGAATTACACACACAAATCTCTTTGACTGAGAAAAAGTTGCAAGTAAATCTATTCTAATCTCTCTCAGGTCCAGATTTGGGTGTTTGTATGAGAGACTTCATTCAGCTCTAATGCTTTGTTAGAGCACAATAACTCCATTTCCCATGTTAGCAGATGAGACTAAAAGCAGCCACCGTTTCAGATTGTAGTACAGTCTGTCTTTTCCTCTTCTGGCCCAGCATTCAGCTGCTAAAACTTCCTCAGACAGGATTTTGGGCTCTTGTCAAGAATCTGCAGGTCTGTTTAATCTCCGAGTGGGAAATACACAAGGGAACTAGTGATTACCAGAGTAAACAAACTTGGTTGTTTAATGTTTCCCAACATCTGTTTGGTCTGGGCTATGCATTCTGAAAATGACTAAAACCAAAAACAGCTATAAAAAAAGTCGGGAACACCCTGGAAAGGGCAATATTTTTAACATAAAGAGCATTTGTGTGGTGTACCTCATAGGACACTTCATATTTGTTTGAATGCTGTAAGCAATGTTCACAGATTTCAGTTTTCTGCTATTTAGGATTAGTTTTCTTGATTCTTCACTTATTTTTTGTGCTTTATTTGCTTGTTGGTGCTTTTTGCTTTCACATTTTTCACGACATTCAGCTCATTTGCCAGTTTAGCTTAGTTTCAGCTTCACTTCAGCTATTCGACAACGTCAGCAATCAGTTACCAAATTTAGCATGAGCTGCTAATTTCACAGTTCAGCTAAATGTAAATATTAAACTGTTAAACTTGTCCAACTGAAATAACAAGTGTTTAGACACTTTAGCTGTCCAGATTTTTATACAAGGTTCACAGATTTCAGTTTTTTTGCTTTTTAGCCTTATTTTTCTCCATTCTTCACTTACTTTTTGTGCTTTATTTGCTCATTAGTGATTTTTGCTTCTACATCTTTCAACACATTCAGCTCATTTTGACAGTTTTGTGTACTTTCAGCATTTCTGCAAGAAATGCAATTTGTCTAGTTAAATATGTGATGTCCTTGTGACCTGTAATTATCAACACGTTATAAAGTTTATCACATTTATAAACCTTCAATCCACAAAAGCTGACTCCTTGTTTAAAATGCACTTACTTGTAGGGTCGGATGTTGATGTTTTTCTCATCGGGGAAACCGTACATGCCACAGATGACCCTGCTGTTCATCTGTGTCCACTCCTCGCTGCAGATCTGCCTCCACTTGCCTCCGTCTTTCACCTCCACAAAGCCCTCAGTAATGGGAATCCTCTTTCTGTTGGAATATGTTGCCCTGATCCTCACATCCTCCACCTGAACATTCAAACCCTGAAAAACAAAAACATCCCCACATGGTGCAGGATACTTAAACACCAGGAGAAAACTGATGTTTTATTTCACAAGATGTTTCTTTATTTTAGATTTAACCAAAGGAAGCTTTCACACAACTGCAATCAAACCTATTTCTGCAGAAAGGACTTGGTAGTATTCATGCTGCACCCATATTACACAAACTGGGGCTCTTTTCATCTTATTATTCTTTATTTAAGACAACTGTAGCACTGGCATAAACAACCTGACATCTCTGATAAATAATAATCAGTCTTAGATAATGTTTATGGTTGTTTTTGGTACAACAGGTTTAAAAGTATTTGACACATCTTCGCTCAGATTGTTTAACATTAACCAAAGCAGCACGGCTTTTCATGTTATAGCGGACATGGATGGAGATGATGGGGCAGGGAGCATCTGCATCTAATAGTTCAGTTAAACTACTCATACACGTGTGTGGATGATTTACAAACATACATTCCTAAAGGATTGATTGTGGATAAACTTGCTATAAATCCTCTAAATGGCAGCTAACTTTTTGACCTTTCTTCTGTAATTTGTCTGGCTACTTCCTGGAAAAGTGTTTTATAAACAGTTTTATGTAACCAGGAACATTCTGTTAACATTTTCACAGATGAATCACTATTTGACAAAATGTTAATGCAATGTTGTCAGATTCATTTGTATACTTCTGGTTAGATTAAGTTCTCCACTTGATGCAGTCTGTAACCATCCATCCATCCATCCATCCATTGTCTGAACCCGCTTGTCCATGTAGGGTGGCGGGGGGCTGGTGCCTATCTCCAGCGGTCAGTGGGCAATCAGACGGGGTACACCCTGGACAGAGAGCCAGTCCATCGCAGGGCAACACAGAGACACACAGGACAAACAATCATGCACACACACACACACACACACACACACACACACACACGCACACGCACACGCACACGCACACGCACACACACACACACACACACACACACACACACACACACACACAATCACAATCACGATGATCTTTCAGTGCTTATAAAATGGTGAAAAGTGAAAGTATGAAATAAATCTATTTGCAGAAGTAGCTTTGCTATGGATGGTTTTTAGTGAAAGAGATCATGAGCAGAAAGTGTACCTTTTGAAACGATTGGTACAAATATGTACCTTTAACTACTAAGGAACATATATGTAACGTTCAGACAACAAAAAAGGTACAGAATGATTCCCTGAGGTTCAACATTGGTCCTTAGACTGGGTTAATGTCATTTTGTCCTTGGTGCACAACAATGTACCATTTCTGTTACCCCATTTTTGTCCATACACGTATTATACAACAGTCCTCTTGAACTCCTCGGCTACTTCTGTCTCTCACAGTGTCAAAATATATATCTCAGGTGAAGCGTTTGAGATATTTTAGTTTTTTTGGCATAGCATTTTTATGAGAAGGGGATACAGCATGTATCGGTTTACATTGGTTATCAGAAATTTAGAGTCAGACAATATTGGTATATTGGATTTCAGTAAAAAAGCCAATATTGAGCATTCCTACTGATAACCGATATTTACCAATATTATATCTGACATAAATTTCACTACATTTTTGACACCATGCCCAAACAAATATCTCACCGCTTCGTCAATACACACAATGCAAACGGCAACAAGATGGAAATACATATTGGTTATTAATATCGGCCCAGTTTTACTTATTAGGCTGATACAGATAAGTTATAAAATAAATCATATCAGCTGATGCTGATATATTGTGTTTTCCGCTGCCAAATATAAAATACAATTCATTATAATGGATTATAAGATTAATACTTTATTGCATTTACACTCTTCCAATAAGCCAAATTCCCATTAAAGACTCAAAAATGAGACATAAGGAATAATCAATAAATGAGATACAGAAGAAAAATATATAAGGACTAATATAAAGAAGATTTAAAGTAGTTTAAAAAATAATAAAGACCACAAAGATGCAGAGAACACTTGGTTTGTAAGGTTTCTGTGGGTGATCTTTTGTCCACCTAGAAAGGTTATGCAAAACCATCTGCTCACGGTATGAGTAAACAAGCCTCACAGTCGTCATCTTGTGTCCTGACCACCCCTAAATCAAGAAGGAATGGCTACCTTTGACCTCTGGGGCTTGAAACTCTGCCATTGTTTCAGTCCTTCCGTGAGCCCAAAGCTGCTGTTTACTTCAGACCGAGTGTGAATTTGTGCCACAGATATCAAGTACAGCTTAAACTCTGAGTTTGTGACCTGTACATGCGGATCTCAGCACTTTTATAAAAAAAAGATCAGGCACTTCTCCCAGAATATTAAACATTTGCCCACTGACTGGTTTCCTGAGATGATGTCAGCCTTGAGGAATGTTCAAGGCTTTGGAGTCCCTCAGCATTTGAGACTGAGTCTCAAGTGCTTTAGGAGTGACCCCCCCCCCCCCCCCCCCCCCCCCCCCCCAACTGACCGCAGTGGTTGGAGCAAGCAGAAGCTTCTCTTTCATAAAGAGATTCTCTCTAGCTGAGCATGACAGAGTGTATTTTCCATTTTATCCAGCCTGGTGGGGCGGGAGGTTAGAATGATCACAGAGCTGATGCTCTCGGGTTCAGCTGGTTTCTTTTCTTTTTTTACCCCTTTAGAAAAGCTAAAGGAAACTGATGTAGAGATTCGCTTTGGTTTAAAAGCAGATTTTGGGAAAAAGTAAAACTAACACAGACAGGTGCGAGTGAGGGATGAATACGGCACTGAGATAGATCTGAGCAGTGTTTCTTTTGGCTCAGTGTGAGGAAACTGGCTGTCTGACTGTGTGAGGCGGAAGAGAAGTGGACAGATATGCACAGCTGGGATTCAGCCAGGCGCCCACCAGCCTCCCAAAGCCTCACCACCAATCATAGACTCAGCATTATCCTGTCTGGTTGTGACCCAGGCACATCTACTGGTCACTTTTTGGTTCAGATTCAGCGAAGAGAACAAAGCCGCATGATCAACATTGTTCACATTAAAGCTGGGAAAAGTCTATATGTTACTGTGCACATTTTAAATCACCCCTATAATGTGGCTCACTGCAGACAGTCTTGCAACCAGTGGCTGGCATGCTTTTAGGAGCACCCGCATAATTCCTGGTATAGCCTGACAGCTAAAGTGGCCTGCTTGGTATTACAGAACACATTTCTAATCTGTGTCCCTCCAGAAGAAGTTTTGTTTTCTGACCAAGTAAATGGAATAAAATACATTTTTGACACGCTTTATTTGTATATATTTGAGGCCAATTTTTTTAAATTGGTTTATCATAATAAAATGTATCTTCTTCCTGGTTTGTAACTGTAATTAGATGTCTTAGATGTCACACACACACACACACACACACACACACACACACACACACACACACACACACACACACACACACACACACACACACACACACACACACACACACACACACACACACAGAGCAAATTTTAATGTTTTATTCTTGTGAAGCGCGCTGTGCAATTTTTATCTTGAGAGGCACTGTATAAACTGTGGTTACTGTGGTTGACCTGATGCTGCCGGGGCAGACGGCTCCCCTGATGGCGTTTCCTTGCCTTACCTTACTTGACTCATCTGAACTCAACAAAATATAAAAAGTATAATTTTTTACTGATGTGTGTGTGTGTGTGTGTGTGAGACTGTTATTGTTTTTAAACTGTTCTGGGAATTTGGGTCATTTTAATTCTGTAAAGCACTTTGAGTCGCACTTTTGCTTGAAAAGCGCTTCATAAATAAAATCTGATTGATAAAAAAATCTATTCTTTTATTTCACAAAAAATATCTTGACAGACGTTAAAAGATTTATCTCAAATATGTAAAAAAAAATGTCAAAATACGTCATTTAATTTATATGCCAAAAACCCATAATCTTGTAAGGAAGCACACAAATAAAAAAACATGGTATTAGTTCAAATTCATTGAAAAGCTGCCTTGTTACATCTCTAATTTTTACTTCCTCAACACACGGCCATATTGAGCGATGCGCGTTCCTCAACACAGCTGTTGGTGAAAAAGATTCTCGCAGGGGCTGATGGTAGATTAGTATAACTATTCAAATGAACAGTTGGAAAATGAGCCCACTGCTAAAAGGCATTAGAGTTTTTAGCTTTCTGGACAAATGTAATCACGTTTACTGAACTCATCAGTTAAAACTTAATAAGACTGATTTTAAAACAACGTTGCCTTGAAAAAATAAGAAACTTAACTTGATCAATTCCATTGACCTATGGTTGGACAGAATATCCTACAAAGTAAATAATATTTATATGAGTAACTGAAGCCAATAAAAATATTTGCTTCATTTCAATCAGGTTTTTGTGTTTTCAAATTGTACTTATTTTACATTTTTAATCATTTTATTGAGGCGTATTTTCATATTTTAAATGTAATTTAAATGTGTTACAACCCGACTCTTTTGTAGTGAAGGGGAGGAGTAACACAAGAAACGTGACAGTGGGATTAAAAACGTGTCTGAAAGGGTTTAAAATGAATCAGTAAACAGATGCAAAGTGTTATAAATATAACACCAAGCAAAACAATTCCAATTTTTTAAAAGACCCACTCCAATGAAAATCGTGTTTTTTCTGTTTTTAACATGTTCTTGAGGCATTTTTCTTATGCTACAGGACATAAAGAAATTTAAGCTCAAAATTGAATTATTACATTATTCCATTAAAAATTGCATCGACATAAAGCACCTGGTTAAAACTATGGTAAAAGTTTTACCAAATCAGAATGCGTTTTAAAAATCAATTCAATTAAACTGTTTGTCAGAGTTAACCTTAAAACCAAAAAGGGAAATTCCCTCACCAAGACGTCTAAGCCAAGCTCCTCTATGGATCATTTCCAGTTTACAATTTTAGCAAACCTTCTGAACAGATAAGGGGTTTAAAACTAAAGCGAGGCCAGAAGAACCCCTGCACTGCTGCCTCCCACACTGCTGGATGGCACAGGGTCAGAAGTAGGATTCAGCTCAGCTGTGCTCATCAGCAGCCTGGAGGAGAGGAGGAGAAGGGGCGGTGTCTAAGCTGATCACAAGGGCTGGGTGATCCAGGCTTCTGGAGCTGAAGAGGCCAGGCTGGTGGCCGTAACAACCACATTTGCGGAAATGCAGAAAGACAATGACACAAACGGTCTCAACGAATTGCACAGATTTGTGCAAACATGCAATCTCACCTGTTCAGTCTGTCCAGAGACCCTGTTATTTTATCAAGCAGTCACACTTTTTGTAAATTGTGTGTGACAGGCTTTTGGAGAGCCAGTTCCAGACGTGAATGTCCACTTTGAAGGAAGTGCATTCCTAAAGCAGAATCACCCGTATCTAACCTGATGATGACAACTGTGAGAAATATACCCAAACACTTTTCCAGAAGGAGGAAAAAGATTTAGGTGTTAGGTTTAAAATTTTGGAAAAAATGAATGAGGAGCTGGAGGCACAAAAAAGAGAACTATGGGTAGAAAGGGAAAAACTGAGAGATGAAAGGAATCAAATTAAAGTGACAATGTGTAGTTTTTACCATGAATCTCTGGAAGTATCCATTGAAATGTTGTAAATTAATTTAAAAAGATACCCAGTTGTTGAAAAATATTGGCGGTTTCATAACATAACCATAAAAATCAGGTCTAAAATACATGGGAGCGGGTATAAATCTCTGGGGAACGCCATATTGGATGCCATGTTTCCTTCTATAAAAGCCCGTGAGGACAGAATGCATTTACTGATTTGTAACAAATGGTTACAAAACTTTCAGCATTCACAAATTTTGTTCTTTTACACATTTACCTCTTCACTCATTGCAAGTGATGAAAGGGAATCCGATGTTCTTGTTATTTTGCTGGAGGTTGCACTCCCAAGGATTTTTGACCAAAATGGCCTTCTGTTGGTAAGGTCTTGCTTTAATACAAAAAATAATGCTTGCTTGCAATAATTTATTTACCTGCTGCCCCCTGTCGTCAGGGAAAATACACACCGTCACTTTAAGATGGAAAAGATTGGCATAAATAAGGAATTAAAAATGCCAAACGATGAATTAATTGATCCATGGATTCAAAATGTTGAATACAAACCAGAAACAGACAATATAGACTGGTCCAAAAACAAATTTGAGGCAATAAATGCAAGTTTGAGATTTATAGAAGAAGAAATTAAATACATGGAAAGGAAATAAAATATATAAGCTGAAAAAACGTCCAGTTAGATGGGTCAAGGTTAAAAGATGGCTACGTATCTTTAAAAGATGAATCATTATTTCATAAGAATGATGAAGTATATAAATCATTAAGAGTTAGTATCTTCAAATCATGACCCAGTATTTCAATATTACATTTTAGTATTATTATCTCATAATTATGACAAAGTATCATTAAAAATTTGTATCTTAAAGGGGGGGGGGGGGGGGGGGTGTCATTCCACAATGATGTCCTGCTCTCCTCTGGTGACCCGATTAAACGGGAACTCCTTTACTGCAGACCAGAGTAGTTGTGAAGGAACCCAGCAGACTATAAAACAAATCCAACAGTTTAAAAAGAAGCCTAAAACAAACAGGTAAACAATTATGGGATGCCAGTAGTTCCTGTCAAAAACCTAGCGATTGAGATCTGGATCATTTGTAATCTAGACACTGAGGCATGGCTAATTCCAGCATAGAGAGAATTATAGTAATCCATAGAGAGAAGTGATAAATGCATGGATTACTGTTTCTAGAAGATTATGCAAAACAAATGGTTTAATTTTTGCAACACGACAAAGGTGGAAGAAGCATGATCTGACACCACGTCCCTCTCATAGGGAGCCAAAACCGAAAGCGTCATTCCTGTTATTAGTCAGATCTTGTTTCTTCCAGCTGCGCCGACTGATTAGTTTGAAACCAATTCTGAAACAGGCACACCTGGAATCCATAATCCATGCTTTTATCACCTCCCAACTGGATTACGCTAACTCCATCTTAATTGGTGTACCAGCCTCTGCTCTTAACAGGCTTCAGGTGGTATAGAATGCGGCAGCCAGGTATCTGACGAACACCTCTAGACGTGACCATATCACACCTGCACTTGCGCGGCTCCATTGGCTACCCATAAACTTCAGAGTGTAGTTAAAAAATCATATATTTGTTTTTAAGGCCCTGAATGGACTGGCACCGGATTACCTGTCTGATCTTGGGACTCATGTGCCAAACCGGGTGTTGAGATCTGCCGACTGCTTGCTGCTTCACGTTCCCACCATGAAATACAAAACGCGGGGGCAGCTTGTCTATGCTGCTCCGTCCCTCTGGAATGCTCTTCCTCTCTCAGTGAGGCTGGCACCATCCCTCCCCCGTTTCAAGTCACTGCTTAAGGCTCACATTTACGACCAGGCATTTTTAAACCTTTGACTTATTTTACTGTTGTGTATTTGTGTGTATTGATTGTGTTTGTTTTAATGTTACGTTTTACTTTTTATCTGTACAGCACTTTGATCAGCTGCTATGCTGTTTTTAAATGTGCTTCATAAATAAAGTTGGTATGGTAGGTCTAAAAATATTTACTTTTGTCTTTTACTGGTAAGATTCAGAAAATTAAAAGCTATTCATGACCCATCATCATCCAAACAGTCAAAGGCTAGATTGACCCATGGACACCACTACAAAAGGAAAATAGACCTGACAATCAGCATACAAGGGGAACCTAATCCCATTTTCCATAACAGTAATCCAAGTGGTAAAAGGTAGAAGTAGAAAAAGGACCTAGTACAGATCCCTTTATAGAAGGTTTCCTTTAACTAGTTTACCTGACCTAAAGTAGCATGAGTGTTTATTTAAAGTTATCAATTAGTTCTTTAATTTAAATCAAGCCATTTTATTTAAATGGTTGTTGTCGTGAAGATTGGCGGAGGACCATAGGGACACCAGTGCACAGTAGGCAGTAGAAAACTGTCTTTATTAGCCTGAAGCTAAGAGGAGGTTACCGGAGTGGAGTTCAGGTAAAGGCGGAGTCGAGGGCAAGCGTGGATCGGAACAAGGTAGGTTCAGGACGTGATCGTGGAGGCAGGCAGAGTTCTTGGCAAGAGTCAAGCGTGAAACGAGGTCGGTAGGCGATGACCAGGCAGGATGAAAAGGCTGGCAGATCTACTAGCAGCCGTGTTCAATAATCTGGTAGGGTGCTGGTGGTTGACTATGGAATATATGGCTGTTGAGGCAGGTGTGTGGCATGAGCTTGATGAGGGGACCCGGTGTGATACACGAAGGCTGATGAGGTGAATGGTGGTAGCATGGAGGTCAGGACATGGCAGGATCATGACGGGTTGTAGAATATTTTATTTTTAGTCCTTTTACCAAGGTAAACCTTAATGAAAGACTCATTCTTCTCAATGTACAAGAATACATATTTTGCAAAGTGTCAAATACTTTTTAAAAGTGGATTATTGTTATCGGTGAGTCTTTGATCACTGGGCCAGCAGTTAGCTTGTTTTGTGTCAGGTCAAACTGAGGTCAGCTTTCCAAAGAACATTTCTACTAGATGACCTCATCTTACTGACAGCTCTGAAGTCCTTAATCTTCCATATTTTACTTCCTAGAAATAATATTCCAGTTCTTGTTTATGATAGGAGCTGAGGAGTGGAAGGAAACAGATCTGTACAGTGCTTCCCTCTGAAGTGAGTAATTACGGAAATGTCTCCAAATGGAAGGCAGACACGTTTTCCTGACAGGATCTCCTTGTGAGCTTGTGGTCTAGCCAGCGTCTGACTAATGCTTCCACTACTCCACATGTCTTCCACTTTGTTCAGCCCTCCAGCCTGGTGCACGTTCACCAACACGTGCCAGTCCCACTTGACAAACCTTAGCTGTAAATGCTTATCATGTCTCAGTTTAGATAAAAAAAACTAAAGAAAGCACGTTCACGTGTGCCCCGCCCCTCTTTCCGCGTCGCTGGGCCCCAGTTCTCCAAACAGACCTGATGACTGATGTGCTTTGCATCTGGAATATCTATCAGCTTCCAATCTGGCAGTGAAAAGGACAACAAAAAAACTCACAACTGATTTCAGGGATTATCGAACTACAACACAACCGGATGTAACATCTGTTTAATATGAAGTTAGACATGGGACAGAGAGCTTCCCGTAAAATAAAATTTTTTTAGGGTTCATCAAACAAAACAGCTGGAAATGAAAAAAAAATTTTTTTTAATAACAGACTGGATAAAAGCAGGAACAGAAACAAAACAGGTCTCCCACCAAAGCCTCCAATCAACTAAAACTTTATGATGTGTCAAAATTTAGTTAACCCTAATGAACTAGTTTCTGCTAGTACTTGTACTGCTGCGGTATAGTGTAAGTACTGTATGTTGTACTCATGTTTCTTTGGCTCTAGTGGTCCATGCCACAGCTCTGAAGCGCACAAGTTCACAAATAATAACTCACATTTATCGAGTGAGCACAACATGAAAATGTTCAATCATAAACTCTGGTTTAAAAGTCTTCAGCTCGGTCAGCGTGACTCACAAAAGAGAAGCACGGCCACTGGAGGATCCAGCTGCTGAACATGTGGCGCTGCATACTGCTACACTCCCTGTTTTGTAGGAGCTGGCCTCAGCTTCCCGACATAAATTACCCCTTCCTCCCCTCGAGCATGCGTATCCTCAGGAGCTTTTGTAATACAGAGTTCTCAGGACTCTTACTCAAGCTTCCTTTCTCTTGTTTTTGCAGTTTGATATTATAAAATCTGGATGATACATGTGTGCAGACTGCCTTAAACAACATCACTTTAATAAATAAATAAATACATTTGCATTTTGTTATTACAACCGGAGTTTTACAGTGGCACATTAGCATTCCTGGTTACAGTTAATGATAAACTGCAGCTGCTTTTGCAGCTCATTGTGCAGGAAAAAAAAACATTTTCTCTTTTCTAGAGATGAACTTTATCTGTTCATGAACATGTGCGGCAGTGCTTGATTTTTGATTGCTATATTTTTGAGCCATGTTAAGAAACAGACGTGATGTAGCAACAAAAGTGAAAAATCCTACTGTTTGTTGCTTTTTGGCACAGAACAACACTGTTGCACAACGATCCCACAAGTAAGCTATGGTGTAAACGTCTTGGAGAACACAAACAAGAATGACTCCAATCAAACTAGTACCATGAACCTCTCATTATCCTAAAATAGTACAGTCCAGTCTGTGCTGTTCCCACACAAACATCATCCTAAACCGCAGGACTGTCTCGGCTAAAAGATGAAAAATTAGACTTCCTGCAGTCATAGTTCTGGATTTTGCTTAAATTCAGCTCCAGCTGATGAATGTGACTGCCACAGCTGTCACCGATGTCAGAAATCCTCTGAAAAACAAACGCTGACACTCAAAGTTCAAACACATTACAGTGAACAAGTAATAGGAGACATGAGGGGTGGTGTATGAAAATAATTAACTTTATTTATAATAATAGCTCAGTCACTCTTTAGGGGTGTTGGATAATGTCTACAAATTAAATTATGACTCTGAGGAAAGCTCAGAGTATCTAAAATACTTCTACTTTAATTTGCATTTACAAAGTAGTAAAAAGTAAAGGATACCATCACCCTTTCTGTTATTGATCCACTGTGGAGCTCACAGCCGGGCGGGTTAACTTTCCAGATGTCAGTTCATGCAGTGAATACACAGGCCGCAGGAACAGCCTTACTCGCTGCTACTGTCCGTTTAAGCATAAGTCAAATAGGTGCAGCTACACCTTTCTCCCCTTTCCTTTCCTCTGGGACTTGAAAGGAAGCGGTTGAACCGTGGAAATACTTGCAGGGTGGAACACAAGTGCACTAACACACCAGACACCCTGAATCCACAAAACTAACAGGGAACAAGAAGGTGTCGCGTACATTTGCAGCCTATAAAAAATGGGAATGAGTGAAGCGTGTTCAGCAGAACACACTCCTCATTTCAGTTTCACCTCCCATGCATTCCCTGCCCTGGAAAAATAAACACGTTTTTTATATGAATGTTCTAGTCAAGCATCTTGACTGGATCTTATAAAAAACATATTCACTGTTCAGCCCACTAGTGACTCAGCTAATTCCACCACCCCACATCAAGTATAAACAAACACAAAGCTCTGGTATGAAGGCAGTGAGAACATACCGGCTCTCTTCTAAACTCACATGCTGCTTCAGCTCTATCATTAATGGAAAAATTTCTATCGCAGCTTCTTTTGATCGCTCGTTTTCAGACAAGCTGCAGGAATGTCTCTGGCAGAAAGGGAGGGCAGGAGAGCAGACAGTCACGTCCACAAGTCCACATCGACTCTCCAAACAGT